GTAACAGCATGTCAGTAACAGCACGTCAGTAACAGCATGTCAGTAACAGCACGTCAGTAACAGCACGTCAGTAACAGCACGTCAGTAACAGTACGTCAGTAACAGTACGTCAGTAACAGCACGTCAGTAACAGTACGTCAGTTACAGTATGTCAGTAACAGCACGTCAGTAACAGTACGTCAGTAACAGCATGCCAGTAACAGTACGTCAGTATCAGCACGTCAGTAACAATATGTACGTAACAGCACGTCAGTAACAGTACGTCAGTAACAGCATGCCAGTAACAGTACGTCAGTAACAGTATGTCCGTAACAGTCAGTAACTGCATGTCAGTAACAGTACGTCAGTAACTGCATGTCAGTAACAGCACGTCAGTAACTGCATGTCAGTTACAGCACGTCAGTAACAGTACGTCAGTAACAGCATGCGAGTAACAGTACGTCAGTAACAGTATGTCCGTAACAGTACGTCAGTAACAGTACGTCAGTAACAGCATGCCAGTAACAGCACGTCAGTAACAGCATGCCAGTAACAGTATGTCAGTAACAGCATGTCAGTAACAGTACGTCAGTAACAGCATGGCAGTAACAGCACGTCAGTAACAGTACGCCAGTAACAGCACGTCAGTAACAGTACGTCAGTAACAGCATGGCAGTAACAGCACGTCAGTAACAGTACGCCAGTAACAGCATGCCAGTAACAGTATGTCAGTAACAGCATGTCAGTAACAGCACGTCAGTAACAGTACGCCAGTAACAGCACGTCAGTAACAGCATGGCAGTAACAGCACGTCAGTAACAGTACGCCAGTAACAGCATGCCAGTAACAATACGTCAGTAACAGCATGCCAGTAACAGCACGTCAGTAACTGCACGTCAGTAACAGCATGCCAGTAACAGTACGTCAGTAACAGTACGTCAGTAACAGCATGCCAGTAACAGCATGCCAGTAACAGCACGTCAGTAACAGCATGCCAGTAACAGTACGCCAGTAACAGCATGCCAGTAACAGCACGTCAGTAACTGCACGTCAGTAACAGCATGCCAGTAACAGCATGCCAGTAACAGCACGTCAGTAACAGCATGCCAGTAACAGCACGTCAGTAACAGCACGTCAGTAACAGCATGCCAGTAACAGTACGTCCGTAACAGTACGTCAGTAACAGCACGTCAGTGACAGCACGTCAGTAACAGTATGCCAGTTACAGCTTGCCGTAGATACTGCAATACACGTATATCCTTCATCTTGTCCGTCTTGTGACAGATATAGGAATAATGTGGGAATTACGACCAAACACGAAACTTTATTGCTTCAATGTCTGAGGACTAGCAGCAGCCACATGTGTCTCAGAACACTCTCAAGTTCAGACTGGTGTTCAAAAGGCCTATTTCCGCTACAATATCACAAGCTGCACCACGTGACCGAGTATGGGGGGTGCTGTGAAACAGTGGAAATCTAAAATGTTGCAGGTGACAACAGATGACATGAAACATGTGAGCTAGGACGTCGGTGACACTGGAGACAGCCACGTGACACCATCGCCATTCTTTGACACGAGGGAAGAAACATTCCTTCTTATCTACAATAATGAACTTCAAAATAGTCCAATATCTCCATTTGGGAACAGTCTGGGCCGTAATCTGATAGACAGGGATAAGCAGATCCATTATCCTGGTGTTTGGGGTTGTCTAGAACGTAAGTGTGCTCTGTATGGGGCAACAACGCCTTGAGTTTCTTGTTTATCCTGGACAGTGTTCACAGTGGTGGCAAAGGGGGTGACTGTCGAGAGAAACGTCGTCCAACACATTAGGTTCCCAACAACTCGAGTCAGCCATGAGTACTTACATTATCCTTGTTGTTTGTTGTTTTATGCCGCACTCAGCAATATTCCAGCTACATTACGACCGTCTGTAAATTATCGAATGATCATTATCGATGCTCATGGTGTCAATCACTGGATTGTCTGGTCCAGACTCAATTATTTACAGACCGCCGTCATATAGCTGGAATATTGCTGAAAGCGGCGTTAAACAACCAACCAACCTTGTCAACGTGTAAACTGTATAATATATCTGTAGAGACATCAGTCAGATGAGATTCAGCAGCTGACACAACTCGATCTTTTTCATTTTCTTTGTTGGATGCTTTGAAGTAACCAGCAATGACCTCGAACAAAAAGCTCCGAGTGGACAATGCGAGTGGATTCGGCATGCGATAATTTTTTTCAACTCAAACTCGCTGAACAGATAATGCCTCCTTTTTCTTCCCACATCCTCGGTAAGCAGCACTGTAATTACCCCTCAGTTACGACATTCTGAGATGCCGACAGCTTAGATTTTCATCTTCCCGACCAAGGGCGTTAACTGACTATTAAAGTCCAGTCTCCGCATGACTGCTATGGTCACTTAACGTCCTAGCCTCTGGAAGATGTACAGTTTTCAACCTTATGGTTCCTACCGTATCTTGTACATCCTGAGGGCGGTCGGGTAGCCTAGTGGCTAAAGCGTTCGCTCTTCACCCCGAGGACCCGGGTTCGATTCCCGACATGGGTACAATGTGTGGAGCCCATTTCAGGTGTCTGCCGCCGTGATATTGCTGTAATATATTCATGAACCTAACATCACCGATACTTTTCTTAATACCACCAGCTAAAGATATGGGACTTAATTGTTTGAAGTCGAATCTCGGGGCATCAGTTGTCAATAGCACCACAAATTTGATGGGAACATCCATAATAGCCGTTTCATTTTGAGTCATGTCTTGATCTTTGCGTCTTTTTTAGACCATGGTAATATAATTTCTGCAAATTCCGCATCAGTATACGTTTCTTCAAAGTGATTTGTATTTGAAATATCTTTTCACCATCCCCGTCACAATCGCTACCCATATTGAAGCGATTTACAACCAACGACGATCTCCCCAAAACACAGCCAGCGAAAACTGATGCCAGCAACGTGGGGCGAGAAGTGCGTGCTGCCGCGACAATACCAAACAAAAGCAGATAGGGCAACAAAATAAGCCAATATTTGATGCTGACAGTGAAATAAACTTACCATGGTGACATGAAACTCCCATTAAAACCCTTTTTATTATAAAACTTACCCCATTTAACAAAACAGACTAGAGCGACTGACAACACGTCGGACCTCACTGACAGTATGAAGCAGTCCGGTGGGGATAGTGAGTGAGTGAGTGAGTTGGGTTTAACGCCGCTTTTAACAGTATTCCAGTTATATCACGGCGTGTCAGCTTAATGTGGGAGGAAAGCCCGAAGTGATGCAGGTCTAAGACGTTTACCACTTTGGTGAAACCCACGAGCACGGGTATGGTGCTGACAAACCTAGAAACATAATTGGGGCGAACCGGGATTCGAACACACAATCATAGGTTTCTGGCGTGCCCAAGGGACGCAACTCTGCGCAGCGAATCGCGGCGCCTTAGACGACTGGGCCACCCGTGCCCCCCGGTGGGGATAGAGCGTCCCGAGGCTGTGGCGCCCCCATGACTTTTATCGCGTCACTTTGGGTTTTCCTAACACATCAAGGGATTCTCCTTGGTTTAGCATACTGTTTTTGAAGCCACACATATCCAAAATAATTCACATTTCAGTTTCTTTGTTGCTTAACGCAGCACTCAGCAATATCCCAGCAATATGACGGCGGCCTGTGAACAACTGAATCTTGACCAAACAATCCAGTGATCGATATTGTGAGCAATGATCCAATCCACAGTCTCGCTGAGCCTGACCACCCGATTGTCACCTCTTACGCCAAGCACAGAGGTCAGTTCTAACCCGGGATCCAAATGGAAGTTCCTTCTTGCATCAATTGTGAGCAGGAACTTGCCTTAATAATAGTTAAGTTATCAGCAAAACAATTGTGATGCTTAATACTTTGTGAGGCATATAGCAACAACTGTATAAAGTCTAACACACCTGGAACACGGATGTGAAGGGGTTCAGTCAGAGTTGTATTGATACATCAGTGAGGTTGACTAACATAGTTTATTGAGGTGGAATGGGGTTTAACTTCGCCTTCAACATTATGGCACTTATATAGCAATTGCAGGCATTTGTTTGTGGCTGCATGTACTAGTCCGGACTAAGGTTGAGTTTATAGTGCTAGCCCACCGAGATACAATTCTGCAGTCTAACACGAATACCCCACTCAGACTCGGAATCGACCACTCTTTGTCATAGCCCCATAATGCCGAGCGCCAGGCAGGGTAACAAAAGGTACCATATTATGGCGCGCCGGGGTATCCATCCCCGAACCTTCCACTCTCCGGGTGGATGCTCTACCACTAGACCACGGAGGCGGTCCTCCAGATAGGAAAAAGTACCATCTTTTAACGTCTATAGGTATGACGCGATCGGGGATCGAGCACAGACCTTCTACTCTCTGGGTGGACACACTATCACGGAGGATATCCATTGTTTATTGTAGTTTTCAGTATTTTGTAATCTTTTAATCATTTTGTCTGTGATATTCATAGGAAGAAAAACAAATTCTCCCATAAATATCATGAATGAAATAAGAAATAATTAATAGAAACATTAACTGTGTGTTCAGCATTGGGCTAGGTTATCATATACTGAATTTGAAACTGCATACTTAGAGTGCTAGTGCGTGCGTGCCTGCGTGTGTGGGCCAGCGTGCTTGTACCAGTCAATACTAATGCCAGTAATATGTAGAGTTCTAACCCACCGTGCCACAATTTCACGTGGACATCCTACTCCGACTCCAAGCCGATGTGTCGGCAGGGCACCACGCAGGTTAACAAGTATCCTGTGTTAACACCTCTTGGTATGACCCGGATGGGGATTGAACCCTCTTTGAACAAACGCTCTATCCACTCGACCACAGAGGCGATCACATTCTCCAGACAACAGGCAGTGCCTACTGGGAAACGAAAATATCTAGTAAATCTAGAGTAAATTTCCAGCTTTGCGTGTGTCCTTTTAAATGATGTATATTGTTGTACTCAAGAACCCATGAGACTCATTTCAGTATATGCTTTAATGCTGACACTGTACAAAGATGATAAAATAAATACAAATACGAGATATTGTATAAACCATATAGAATAAATACATACTAATCCATGCAACTTTCTCTAGAGAGAAATCTCTGTACAAAAATATTGTAGGAATGAGTACTTCTATTTCACAAGTTTGTGAAGCATACTTTTATCAACTTTTTTTTCATGTGCATAATACCACTTCTTGTATTACTGTATCAATATTTATCCCTCAGTGTATCAATAATGTAAATGTCCCCCACCCACCCATGAACAAAAATATTTCATCTACCCGAGGCAAGGGTGTTAAATGACTACAAAAGTCCAGTTGCCACCAGTGACTATTATGTGTAATGTCCCTCCTATTAACCAATCAGATTCCACCTCTCGCATCACTTGTACAAAAATATGTGCCCTGTCAATATGATCTGATCTATAATCAAGATCTGTGTTGTAATGAAACGTGTCTTACCCTGTGAAGTGCACCAAATCATTTGAGCACCTTGATTACAACATGAAAAGATCTGGAAAATATCTTTCAACGCCCAGTTGACAGTGCACACGCTTTGCCAATAATGAAGTCAACAGAAATCTGCAGGCTGAAATCCAATTTTGTTTGGTCTATGCATAGACTCTTTGTCCAGCCGAACTGTAACACCGAAATTCCGAACTAGTTCCAACCTAGTTCGGCAAGGGTGGGAATTTGACTTTTATAGTCAGTTAACTCCCTTGCCTTGGGAAAATGAAATATGTCGTTTTGAACATCATTAAAAAAATGTTAAAATATGGCATCCTGTATCCTACGATGCAAGAAACCGGCATAGATCTGTCTGTCATACCCTCACTGAGTAAAGTGTCATAAACAAAAAATGGGTCCTTGCAGAACTGATTGTCAGAAAAGATCTGCTTCCAAGGTGACTGTACGTACTGGCATACCTCCTAACACTTGATCCTTTCATTCACCAGACTTCAGGGCAGACAGACCCCAGCTATTCACACAGACATGACGGTTGCAGCCTTATGTTTACTGGTAATGTATCACAGCGTCACACAAACAAAACACCAACGTTCACATAACATATGATAATATCATAATTCTCCAGAATCAGTCACAGACATCTTCAATCGACCATTACATATCATCGATCACTTGGTCGTCTGAGGTTTCTAGGTATGCAAGGAGCACCTTCCTAAAGTGACACCATTATCCTGAGACAGATTCCATCTCTGCTACTGATGATGACTGTCACTGGCCATATTGAGACACACAAGTACCGCTGATACAGGCCATGTGACGTGTGTACAGTGATGACTGTCACTGGCCATATTGAGACACACAAGTACCGCTGATACAGGCCATGTGACGTGTGTACAGTGATGACTGTCACTGGCCATATTGAGACACACAAGTACCGCTGATACAGGCCATGTGACGTGTGTACAGTGATGACTGTCACTGGCCATATTGAGACACACAAGTACTGCTGATACAGGCCATGTGACGTGTGTACAGTGATGACTGTCACTGGCCATATTGAGACACACAAGTACCGCTGATACAGGCCATGTGACGTGTGTACAGTGATGACTGTCACTGGCCATATTGAGACACACAAGTACCGCTGATACAGGCCATGTGACGTGTGTACAGTGATGACTACATCAGTGGTGATCACATGACAAGGAAATCTATCCTTTCAGTGCAGCTTATCTTGTCTCCACAGGAAATTAGATATCATATTGGCCTTTTAGTAATGTACTGCTGTGGTAACATGATCAGACTTTCAATACTTTCCAAACCTTTAAAACATTTCGCAATAGTTGTTGATAGATATGGAGTTCAGTTTGCTGTTATAAGCATTGTTGATTTCTGGGTTGAGTTCAGTGCTCTACATTGGAATAAAGGAGTTCATGAACTTTAGAAAAGACTGAAATTACACCTAGCACTGCCTACCGAGTTACTTCCTGGTGCTTGTCCTGTGTGTTTCAGGGTTAGAGTTGGTTTATAGTGTCACAAGTCTGCAAAAAGGATCTCCACAACGTTGCCATCTAAATAATGGTAAAAGTGGTCATCCACAAGGACATGTCACTAGTCCTTCCAGAATTGTACAAGTCTTGTACCAGCAGACTTAATTTCAATTCCTGTGTATGGCAGTGTAACACTATTCTATATTACAAAGTACCTTTCATTCATCTGATGTACAGAAGAGACAATGTAACAGCATCAATCTGATCCCTGCTGGCTGTTCTCATAGACAACTTTCACATGTCCATTTCACTACAATTTTTCAGGAACCATACAATTTTCAATTTGAAAATAAAATTACCGTCTCTTGGAAAGTTGTTCAGGAATTTTTGCTATGTCTTCAAACATACGGGGTCTGTCATTCAACAGTATATTCACAATAATATAATATTAACAATATACTTTTCACACATAAGACTTGTACACCTTTGAACAATGACACTGGAAGATGTATTACCATGATTACATGTATCAATGACTGGAGCATGTCCTCACGGAATCGTCACAGCAGGGATTGAAAACGCATGTGAAAGGTATCATCCTCAAAAAAGTTCTGATACAATTTGGATAAAAATACAGTCATACTAAATACAATGATGATAAGATGCGGAGGACAGGGTGTTCCTCTGCTTCACTGTACAAGGTATCACAGACATGTTTGGTGGCGGACGGATCTGGAAGACAGGGAGGCTATCTGGGACTCTTCCGCAGCTTGCGCTCATGTTCCCGCACTGAATCTATCTTCCTCCCATGCATTGTCATCAAGTTGGCCATTTCTGGAGCAGGAAAATAAGAAATATTTATAACCATATGTTTGTGGAATGTGTCATTGCTCTCCGAGAGAGACTCATATGCATCAGTACCAATGACACAACAAACACAAATTCATGACAGCACTTGATATTTATTACTAGTAGTTCAATTATTTTCTGCCACTGGTAATTACTACAAATATATTTACGGAAGCCTGTTATAAAGGGCCATTTGTTTTTTTGTTTTTTCCCTTGAAATTTCAAGATACTAAATGAAATTTCAAGATACTAAGTTGAAATTACAATATACGTACTGGGTTGACATTTCAAGATACATGTATCTTGAAATTTCAACTTAGCATCTTGGAATTTCAAGACAGCATCTTTTAATTTCAACTTAATAAAAATTTCAACTTAGCATATTGAAGTTTCAACATAGCATCCTCATGTTTCAACATAGTACCTTGACATTTCAAGTAATAATCCTACTCATTATCTTGAAATGTCAAACCAGTACGTATATTGAAATTTCAACTTAGTATCTTGAAATTTCAAGGAAAAAACCCAAATGGCCCTAAAAGGCTTCCGTAAGTTGATTTCAAATGACGTGAAATGAGAATTTGAAAGAGATCTGCAGTTTTCCTAAATTCCATCACACGTATAGCAGGACTGAAGACAGGGACATTTATTAAAGAAACTAGCCTGGGTTTGCCCCTGACCAGTTGGCCCCTTCAGAATACACTGTTATATGTAAGTAATCTTAGTGGTGGTAGAAACTGGTGTAAATATATTTGTAGTAATTACCAGTGGCAGAAAATAATTGAACTACTAGTAATAAATATCAAGTGCTGTCGTGGCCAGATTTTATCAGCGGTCAGCGACAGTGAGTGGAATTTAGAGTTATCCCCCTTGTATAAATGAACATGGTGGCTTGATCGTGGGAGACCTACCTCTGTTCTCACGCTGTAGGTTGCCCCCCATCTTGGTGAGGTTCTCGATCTTCTCCTCCAGTCTCTTGCACAGCACCTGTGTGTCGGGGGTAAGGGAGGACATGGACGCTGCACACAGAGGCAAGTCGTACACATACCACGCCATGATAAAATATATTTACATGACATCAATGGAATCAGCTTGTTGGTTGTAAGATTAAATATATTTACATGACACCAATGGAATCAGCTTGTTGGTTGTGAGATGGAATATATTTACATGACACCAATGGAATCAGCTTGTTGGTTTTATTTGTACTTGACATTAATATCATTAGATTAATGATATTAATAATCCCACTTAAAGATAGAATAGAACCATTGTATATAAGAAACTAAAGTACTCACGGAAATGAAAAAAACATGTTTTTCTCAATTTTAAAAATCGACACAAAGTGTTACGTAGCTGTAAATACGAAATAACAAAACAACTCAAAAAGTACTAGTCTGGATTTGCTAGTTTGATCTCAGTGAACAATACAAAATGTACTTTACAGGAGGTTATTTGTCGGGACTTTCAACATTCAAAAATAAAACTAAGTCCAAATTGACATAGCAGAAACAGACTATAGGCATTATGCACCTGTTCTCACCTGTCGTCAAGGTGTCATAGGTCACCTTGGTCTACTTACACCTGGTTATGCCCTGTTTCACAATAGTCTGTTTTATTCACATTTTTACACACTTTTACGTGTAAAAAGGCATAAAAACATTTGATACGCTGTATTTGTGCCACGGCCCAATTAGTACTAATTTAGTTGTTTGAATATTTACATATTTTGTATATTAACTGCATTTATTTAAGATCTGAGGTCCAAAAAACAGGTTTTTTTCATTTGCGTGAGTACTTTAGTTAGAACTATTTCATAAACAAAATCATTCCAAAGACCCCTGGGCTGTGAAGATCACAAGAGAATGAGGGCGATTCACAAGAAGTGAACATTTGTCCATGTGTGAGTGAGTGAGTGAACCCTACTGTTGATGTCACCTCTCGACCACACTGTGTCACACAGGACAGAAGGGACAACACTCAAGCACCTACCTACAAACATCACATACAGGCAGGCAACTGACAAAATATATATGTCTTATTTTTTATATGTACAAATGCTGACAAATTTAGGGATTCAAGAATGAAAAAAAAGAATTTCTGTCACACAACAATTCAAGAAGGCAGAAAATACAATTTCACTTGAAGAAAACAAGAGTCATCAGAAGTCATCATAAGATGCAAAAGGCACAACTTCAGCCCTTGGTTAATACATGTACAAGTTTGGATGAACAATGTCGAAATGTTCTTTAGTTCTGCTCTGGAAACAACACCTACCTGCGTTGCAGATAAGTCTAACTTGTTTCCATTGAAACAGGGTAATATTAAATTTTGAAAAATTCCTAAATAGCAAAAGTCAGCAATTCAGCCTTTGGTTAATACATGTACCAGGTTTGGATGAAAAGACATACAGAAGGACGGACATACAGATGAGGTGTCGACTTTTCCCCCCCGCATTATATGCCGGGGAAAATAAATACATCAAAAGTAAAACGTATGAATAGTTGCTTTGTATTCCAAACAAGAAATGTTACCATGGATACCAGCAATCAAGTTTGTACCAAAGCAGCCACGATGTACCTGGATCAAAGCTGTTGATGTCCATGTCTTTATCTGGGTTAGATGAGGGTGACACAGGTGTGCTGTCTACAGGTGAGACAACGAGGTGAGTGGCAGGGTGTGTTTGAGAAGGGTGGAGTGAGCGGGGCGGGGTACAGAGGGAGGTAAGTAGAGGCATGGCATCCCCGGGGAAGGATGGAGGACAGGTGCAGGAGGAGACAGCGCCATCTGGTGAGCAGGAAGAGGTAGACAGTGAGCTGATGTTAGCGGGATCCAGAGCTCCAGATAACTTTTTGAGCAATTGAGTTTTTACTTGAAGGTTTCTATTTCAATTGGGTTATAACATTTTTCATTGAGTAACCAATATTTTTTCACTCATCTATTCATCACTCTATTGTGTTGTTCCCAAAATGAGTAAGCATTTTGAGATTTAAAAAAAAATGGAAAAAATGTTTTAGCTGTATATAACTGTTCTAAATATAGGCTTGACTTGAAAAGTAAATTAGCTCGTAATTGTGTTTAGGAAATTAGCTCTGTTGTACGCATGCTGAAAAAGCTTCATTGGGTATTTACGCGTGCTGTTTTCAAACAGCTGAGTTTTTCATTTAATGCATGTGTCTCTGTATGCAAGTTAATTAAAAGTACCGGTAATTGGGTTTTGAATAGTTTTATTTTTACGCAAATACGCAATTATCTGAAGATCTGGGGACCACTGATTGTCTTACAGGTACACCCATCTATTGGGCAGTTTGGCAAGGACTACAGGACGAGTGCCAATTTCTAACGCTGTAGTAGAATGTCTTATCAAAAGTTATACAATCATGAAAATGTCCTTGTGTCACTTTCATCCATCAAATTGACTGAAGCACTCTACAATACCATTCTGACACGTTCTTAAATGGCTACACCCAAATGGTCTGATCTGATCATGTTTCAAGTGTCCAGTGGACAAATAGTTAGAACTTACTGAAAGACTGATATATGATGAGGACATTTTCAGTGTCGGTGTAATGTAAGAGATGAGCAAAGCTTTTAGAAATTGTCATGAAATGCTTGTGCTCATATCAATGAGAATTAGGCATCATACTTTTCAACACTTTTCAACATCTTATGGACTAATAACAACACCAAAGGAAGAGTTAGAAGTGTACACACACTGACAGAGGTTTTCAGGTCATTGTTCAAACACTTTGAACATGACAAAGATTGTAGATGAGTCAGTTTCTACTGCTGATCACACCGGATAGATGAGGAGGAATTAGTGTAAGGGAGGTAACTCATTAACAAACATGTGTTGCCTTCAACAGTTGCAGATTCTTCCTAAACTCATTGAGTTTACAGGCCTGAATGGATCCTTCCAAATGATACTCCATGAAGTTTCAGTCTACAGAGAAACACATGTAGACACAGTGATGACAAGGAGTATTTGAACATCTTCCCGAGAAAAGGGAGTTAACTGACAGTAAAAGTCAAGTTTCCAGCCTTGCCAGACTAGGTGGGAAATTCCAGGCCCAAACGTAGCGCCAACAGTGGCTATTACAAGTTATGTCCCTTCTATGTCTCTCCTACTGACCAATCAGATTCCACCTCTCATATCACTTGCATTTGTTTCAAACAAAATGGCAGCACCCAGTCAAGACGAACTGTAAACATGGGTTGCTGAAGGCCTATCCTACCCCTGATCTTCACGGGTCACCTATATGCTGTCAACCATCCTCACCTATATGCTTGTCGACCATCCTCACCTATATACTTGTCGACCATCCTCACCTATATGCTTGTCGACCATCCTCACCTATATGCTTGTCGACCATCCTCACCTATATGCTTGTCAACCATCCTCACCTATATGCTTGTCGACCATCCTCACCTATATGCTTGTCAACCAACCTCGCCTATATGCTTGTCAACCATCCTCACCTATATGCTTGTCAACCATCGATCCTCACCTATATGCTTGTCAACCATCCTCGCCTATATGCTTGTCGACCATCCTCACCTATATGCTTGTCGACCATCCTCACCTATATGCTTGTCGACCATCCTCACCTATATGCTTGTCGACCATCCTCGCCTATATGCTTGTCAACCATCCTCGCCTATATGCTTGTCGACCATCCTCGCCTATATGCTTGTCAACCATCCTCGCCTATATGCTTGTCGACCATCCTCACCTATATGCTTGTCGACCATCCTCGCCTATATGCTTGTCAACCATCCTCGCCTATATGCTTGTCCACCATCCTCGCCTATATGCTTGTCGACCATCCTCACCTATATGCTTGTCGACCATCCTCGCCTATATGCTTGTCGACCATCCTCACCTTTATGCTTGTCGACCATCCTCACCTATATGCTTGTCGAGTGCTTCAGAGTTAGTACAGACGTGCTCGCCTATATGCTTGTCGAGTGCTTCAGAGTTAGTACAGACGTGCTCGCCTATATGCTTGTCGAGAGCTTCAGAGTTAGTACAGACGTGCTCGCCTATATGCTTGTCGAGTGCTTCAGAGTTAGTACAGACGTGCTCGCCTATATGCTTGTCGAGTGCTTCAGAGTTAGTACAGACGTGCTCGCCTATATGCTTGTCGAGAGCTTCAGAGTTAGTACAGACGTGTGAAGTGTTGATCCATGGCATTGTTAAGAGACTGACCAGGGTCACTGTGACTCACCTCTGCTCCTGTAGGGAGATCCGGAGTACGCTGACCGCCCCGGGGAGCTGGCCACAGACATATGGCTGGACTCATACCGACTGTCTTGTCGAGGTTTATTCCGAGAACTGCTGAGATCTGCGGAGCAACTTCTGCGATGACGACGCTGAGGAGTTTGTGGGGCTGAGTTGACTTCTGGAATGAGTGTAAAAAGGAAATGGAACAACGGGTCCTTCTAGTGTGAGCTGAGGAGAAGTCTGTGCAGATACAATAAAATATTCCTGAATTTGAAGCAGTGAAAAAAATGATTCATGTCAAAAATATAGTTGATTTTCCAATAATATATAGATGAAGAGCCCCAGGGATCAAGTTTTCTGTTTCCTTGAAAGATGTCAATTGTAAAATTAACAATGATTTTATGAAATGAAGCATGAAATTAAACACAGGGACCAATTCTACAAGGAAATCTTAGCACTACTACTTTTCACCTTGAGGATTAGATCTTGTCATTCATGCCTTGCGGGTGGATAGTTTTGAGATAAAAATTCAATTTTAGTTCAATGGATCGGCGTTAAGCCATGCTTTGTCTGACTCAGGGTCCATGTATAGCTGTTGTATTATTTGATAATGTTTATGTTGATAGTCGTAACACCAATTCCACTTTGTGGAATGTAATCCAAAGGAGATGCAACTGCCAGGGAATATTATCAGGACCCCAAAATAGTCAACACAGAACTGCTAACAAAATCAATACTGTGAATTCTGCATGCTAAGTGACTGTCATCACCTTACCTCTCACAGATGATACACCTGAAAAGTCTATATGCGACCTTGCCCTTGCCCTTGCCCTCAGCCAGGTTGGTTCGATCTCGGAGTCAGACAGGGAGTCCAGGTCAGGAGATGACCCAGAGTCCTTAGACCTGGAAGAAGATGATGCAAGATGTAACTAAGGACTGTTTGTTGCAGTGTTTCAAATAATTAAAACCCAACAAGAGAGTCGGGCAGGTGACCCATACATGTTGCCTGCCCATCTTCAAAGTTACCTGCCTGCATTCAGGCATTATAAATATTGAAAAATCGCAAAAACCAAGAGACAAATCAAGTCTTGATTGAATTGAAAAAATGCAAACTTTAACATATACCACGAGTTATAATAAAACTGAGCACATGTGTATACATAAGATTATCTGCCTGACAGTCGGGCAGGTGAAGGAAAACTTCATGCAGCCCGAGAGAAATGTTACCAGCCACGGGCAGCGGGCAGGCAGTTATTTCAGTCACAGGTTTGTTGACTAATTTACTCCTTGCGACTTTGGAATACAACAAAGATGTCGGACATGAGGACATGCAGAATGTCCTGCAATATCTGTGTTACACACATGGCACCAGTGACAGCCTAGAACCTGACTTAAAATGGGCAGCGGTACGTGGAGGAAGGTGCTGTTGATCACTGCATGTATAAATGCAAGATGTACACAGCAATATGTGAAGGCAGCCTGTAACTAATCGAGTCACTGAAACTGACCACCCCATCCAAGACGTTGTCACTTAAGACCTCTTCAAACCTGAAATCTCCATAGGGGAATATTTTTGTTTGTTTGTTTGTTGTTTAACGCTGCACTCAGCAATATTCCAGCTATATAACGGCGGTCGGTAAATAATCAAGTCTGGACCAGACAATCCAGTGATTGATATCATGAGCATCAATCTACGCAATTGGGATACGAAGACATGCATCAACCAAGTCAGTGATCCTGACCACCCATTCCCGGTTAGTTGTCTCTTACGACAAGCATGGGCTGCTGAAGACCTATTCTACCCCGGATCTTCACGGGTCTCAGAGGGGGATGTTAGGAACAATACTGTATATAAGGTTAAGAAAGGAAAGATGAATGATGTACCTTCTATCTCTGGCTGGTACAGGTGAGGAATGGTACACTGAAGGACGCAGGTTGGACTTGTGAGTCACCTCCCTTTGCCCGGCAATCAGTGACCTCATCTCCGTCAGCAGATCCTTCAGCTCCTGGCCGACGACTGCATAGTTCTCCCTTGGTTCCTGGGGATTCTGGTTGTCATACACAATCATAACTGAGTCATATAAAAATATTAATATATGTATCTCTTTAACCAGCGATTTACTTGGGACTATTGAGTCCTTGTGAATCCTCAGGAAAACATTTTTGAGGTCCCAAGGTTGAGGCCAAGGTTGACCACAGTAAATAATTGAGTCTGGACCAGACATTCCAGTGATTGACATTGTGAGGTGAGGTCAGGTGAAATGGGGTTTTAACGTCGCGTCTAAGATTACTGCACTTGTATAGCGACGTGCATGTACGTGTGTTTGTGTGGCTGCTTGTACTAGTCTGGACTGATGCCGATTTATAGTGCTAGCTCACTGAGATACCATGCCGCAGTTTAACATGAATACCCCACTCAGACACAGTATACGGACTCCGAGCCGACCAGTCCTTGTTTTAGCCCCTTAATGCTGAGCGCCAGACAGGGTAACAACAAGTACTATCTTTTAACGTCTTTTGGTATGACGCAGTCAGGGATCGAACCCCGGACCTTCCGCTCTATAGGCGGACGCTCTACCATTAGACCACGGACGCGGTCTGATTGACATTGTGATGAACGATCCACACTGTCAGGGTACAAAGATACACCATCAACCAAATCACCGAGCCTTATCACCTCATCTATAAAGTCGCATTTTATGACCAGCATGGGGACCTATTCTAACCTGTCCTGCCCAGGGGGAGTGGATTTAGTGTTAATATATGGACTGTTAATAGATGAGAGTAACAGGTCAAACAAAACATTTGACTTTGGTTCAGATTAGTGGCTGAAATCGCAGTTTGTGAAAACTAACTGAATCATTGGTCCAGAATAGCAAACGTGGATGATAACCATTAGATGCCCTACTGGAATCATGATATGACTTGAGCTGAGAACACAGTTTGAAAGTACACTGATTTCATGATGGGGTGATCACACAAAGTATTAGCTGAAGATGAAGAGTTAACAATCTGAAAGCGATGGACTGGCCAAGGGAGGCACATCAGGTTAACCTAACTTAGTACACTGTATGTGATGTGCTGCCAACACCCCACCTTGTGTTCCTGTGGTGGAACACTGCTCCCTTGCTTGTGGGGGTGGGTGAATCCCACGGAGTCCCTACCCTGCCGGGGTACAGGAGTGGTGCTGCTCCGTGGCTTGTTGAGGTAGGTGAATCCCCCGGACTCCTTACCCTGCCGGGACACAGGGCTGTTGGTTCTGCTGGGTTGACCTGTGGGTGGCATGCCAGAGTAGGGGGTCTTTCCACTCATTACCTGCTCTGCCTCCTGTAAACACATCAAAACATCATCACATTCTGTGATAGAAAACATTCTATAATAGATAGACCATGTCAAAGGTACAAAATCAGATTCCTAAATTGTTTTTTTTTGTACCAGTTGAGCTCTGATTGCCTTAACAACCCTATGTGTGAAAGAAAATGACAATCCTAAGCCACAGACAGCAAAACAATACTGAGTGCAATGACCCATGCCGTCTGGGCACATTGACACTCCATCAAGCAGGTCACCGAGCGTGACCACCCAATCCATTTGATAGCCTCTTAGGGCCAGCTGGGGACTTGCTCCAGCCCGGAATCCTCACAGCAAGATTCTTCTTCAATCATAATACACATATCACACAAAGCTACATGTACATGTATACAAATCGTGTGTAATTAAAGGAACTGCCCAATCCGCAGATTACGCAAACGTTAGATAGCTAGACTTATCTTACGTCATCATGTAAACAAATGCCCTAAACTTTTACATTGAAAGATTTCTGTTCATCAATGTAAGTCGTTGCTCTTTCTGTGAGATTACGCAATGATGTGTGCCAAATCTGCGGATTACACAAGCATGGTCGCGGTACCAGGGAATCGGTTAGTTGCTTTGTGTAACCCCTGGATTGGGATGTTCCTTTACGCATGACATATACGGTTTGTTGATGATGACATATTTTCTGTGCTGTTAAGACCAAGATACTTTAATTAAATTTTCGTTGTGTTCATGGTAATTCCTGCATTCTGATTAGCTGAATTGGTCACGTGTTATTGCATTCTTTTCCCATTTCCCACTACTTTCATTACTGCGGAATGTTAGGGAATCCCCATATTACAGAGCAGGGAATTCCCTTTCTGCTCCAAGTATCATCATGCACAGGACATTTAGCGACATTTATGCATATTCATTGTTCAAAGTACCCTTTGAAACCGAAGGCCGAGAAAGAATGAAACAGCAAACGTGCAGGCTTATTCGCCTGATTTTTTCCCCGCTCGCCTCATGTCTTCCGGTTTCATTTCTAACTAGCATTTTCCAACTGTGTTTTACCATTTGTTCGAATGTTCGAATCTGGCGGAAACTGACCATGTCATTTGAAACAGCCGCCTTCTAAGCGGATTCATACAGTGTGCACACCGTTTTTTCGATTCATACCTCAATGAACTGAAAAAGATACACAGTCAATCCTTAAGTGGAGACATTGTGCATTTACTCATCACATGTTATCATTCTCCCAGTGTTTTCAATGGATATCAGATATAGTCTAACTCCCCTGGGTCCAATCTATTTGTACCCATAATGACCAGACAGTTTGAAGTGACTCTGATACAAATGCTTTACCTCATGCAGATTCACAGCTTATCTAGACCACTATGAAGATTAACAAAAATTAACAAGATGACATATCCTCCCTTTCTGGTGCAATTCAGAAATGGAGTTGGACTACATTCACTCCACTTTTGGTTCATTGACATTGGACACCTTCAGTTCAGTAAAGAGAAAAAAGTAATGCTGATCTGTATTTTTCAATATCCTAAATCATCAAAAGGCACCATTACCCCACTTGACAGATCTGTACAGCAAGTTTCATCCAGAAATATTCAATGGTTTTGGAGTTCTGCTCTCGGGAACTTCCCTTTGTTTTCAGTACAAGTCCAACTTGTTATCAATAACCCCCTCGAAAAGAAATCCCAAATCAAAGGCACCCTTCCACCACTAGACTTACATCTATACACTTGCATCATGTTATATTCAACGGTATAGGAGTTCTGCCCCTGAAACGGCAAACAGACACACAGACAGACATACAGACATGCTAAAAGCTTAAAAACTGTTGAATATTTCAAGATGCAACTTGCTATACAGTTCAGTCTGGTGGTGAGCTGGTGCCTTTTGATGGTTTTGGATTTGTTATTTTCAAAACGGGAGGAAAAAAGTAACACAAGCTTGACATATAAAAATATATGATGACCGAACAAGATTGTTTCCCACAGTAGCTGTCTGACCTTGAGGTCCAGCTGGTGGTTGAGCTTCAGTCGGGCAATGTCTTGTTCAAACTGCTCCATCTTGGCCTGCGCCGTTGCCGTCTTTAGACCAGACTGAAGTCACACATGGAGGTATGTGATTAGCTATTGGTCTGTTGTCATACATTATGTCATGGTAAGATGTTATTGGTCTGTTGTCATGGTAAGATGTTATTGGTCTGTTGTCATACATTATGTCATGGTAATTAGCTATTGGTCTGTTGTCACACATGATGTCATGGTAATTAGTTATTGGTCTGTTTTCATGGTAAGATGTTATTGGTCTGTTGTCATACATTATGCCATGGTAATTAGTTATTGGTCTGTTGTCATACGTTATGCCATGGTAATTAGTTATTGGTCTGTTGTCATGGTAATTAGTTATTGGTCTGTTGTCATACATTATGTCATGGTAATTAGTTATTGGTCTGTTGTCATGATAATAAGTTGATGGTCTGTTGTCATACATTATGTCATGGTAATTAGTTATTGGTCTGTTGTCATGGTAAGATGTTATTGGTCTGTTGTCATACATTATGTCATAGTAATTAGCTATTGGTCTGTTTCACACATGATGTTATGGTAATTAGTTATTGGTCTGTTGTCATGATAATTAGTTATTGGTCTGTTGTCACACATGATATCATGGTAATTAGTTATTGGTCTGTTGTCATACATTATGTCATGGTAATTAGTTATTGGTCTGTTGTCACACATGATGTCATGGTAATTAGTTATTGGTCTGTTGTCATGATAATTAGTTGATGGTCTGTTTTCATACATGATATCATGGTAATTAGTTATTGGGCTGTTGTCATGGTAAGATGTTATTGGTCTGTTGTCATGATAATTAGTTGATGGTCTGTTGTCATACATGATGTCATGGTAATTAGTTATTGGTCTGTTGTCATGATAATTAGTTGATGGTCTGTTGTCGTACATGATGTCATAGTAATTAGTTATTGGTCTGTTGTCATGGTAATTAGTTATTTGTCTGTTGTCATGGCAATTAGTTATTGGTCTGTTGTCATGGTAATATGTTATTGGTCTGTTGTCATACATTATGTCATTGTAATTAGCTATTGGTCTGTTGTCATACATGATGTCATGTAAATTAGTTATTGGTCTGTTGTCATACATTATGTCATGGTAATTAGCTATTGGTCTGTTTCACACATGATGTTATGTAATTAGTTATTGGTCTGTTGTCATGATAATTAGTTGATGGTCTGTTTTCATACATGATATCATGGTAATTAGTTATTGATCTGTTGTCATGGTAATTAGTTATTGGTCTGTTGTCATGATAATTAGTTGATGGTCTGTTGTCATACATGATGTCATGGTAATTAGTTATTAGTCTGTTGTCATGGTAATATGTTATTGGTCTGTTGTCATACATTATGTCATGGTAATTAGCTATTGGTCTGTTTCACACATGATGTTATGGTAATTAGTTATTGGTCTGTTGTCATGATAATTAGTTGATGGTCTGTTTTCATACATGATAATATGGTAATTAGTTATTGATCTGTTGTCATGGTAATATGTTATTGGTCTGTTGTCATGATAATTAGTTGATGGTCTGTTGTCATACATTATGTCATGGTAATTAGTTATTGGTCTGTTGTCATGGTAAGATGTTATTGGTCTGTTGTCATACATTAGGTCATAGTAATTAGCTATTGGTCTGTTTCACACATGATGTTATGGTAATTAGTTATTGGTCTGTTGTCATGATAATTAGTTGATGGTCTGTTGTCATACATGATATCATGGTAATTAGTTATTGGTCTGTTGTCATGGTAATTAGTTATTGGTCTGTTGTCATGATAATTAGTTGATGGTCTGTTTTCATACATGATAATATGGTAATTAGTTATTGATCTGTTGTCATGGTAATATGTTATTGGTCTGTTGTCATATATTATGTCATGATAATTAGTTGATGGTCTGTTGTCATACATGATGTCATGGTAATTAGTTATTGGTCTGTTGTCATGATAATTAGTTGATGGTCTGTTGTCATACATGATATCATGGTAATTAGTTATTGGTCTGTTGTCATGATAATTAGTTCATGGTCTGTTGTCATGGTAATTAGTTATTGGTCTGTTGTCATGGTAATATGTTATTGGTCTGTTGTCATACATTATGTCATGGTAATTAGCTATTGGTCTGTTGTCATACATGATGTCATTGAAATTAGTTATTGGTCTGTTGTCATGGTAATTAGTTATTGGTCTGTTGTCGTACATGATGTCATGGTAATTAGATATTGGTCTGTTGTCATGGTAATTAGTTATTGGTCTGTTGTCATGGTAATTAGTTATTGGTCTGTTGTCACACATGGTGTCATGTACATGAATAGATATTCCATGAGCAGATTGATTATAGTAGCTCCATGTGAAGACAGTCATGAGTTTGAATAGATGCTCATGACCAGATAAAACAGATAATGGTTCTTCAAATTATCTGTTCCTTACAACGTATTGGGGTTTGGTGAAGACATACACTCATAAACCTTCTGCCACTTTTGACAAATCTCGTAATAACCTCTTGGGAGATTTTGCTTTTTCCTAGTAAGACCTCATCCCGGACATGAGGTTTTACTTTTTAGAAGTTAGACCTGGTATGAGGTTTTACTTTTTAGAAGTTAGACCTGGTATGAGGTATTACTTTTTAGAAGTTAGACCTGGTATGAGGTGTTACTTTTTAGAAGTTTGACCTGGTATGAGGTTTTACTTTTTAGAAGTTTGACCTGGTATGAGGTTTTACTTTTTAGAAGTTAGACCTGGTATGAGGTGTTACTTCTTAGAAGTTAGACCTGGTATGAGGTGTTACTTTTTAGAAGTTTGACCTGGTGTGAGGTTTTACTTTTTAGAAGTTTGACCTGGTATGAGGTTTTACTTCTTAAAAGTTTGACCTTGTATGAGGTTTTACTTTGTAGAAATTAGACCTGGTATGAGGTTCTACTTTTTAGAAGGTTGACCTGGTGTGAGTTTTTACTTTTTAGAAGTTTGACTGTGAGGTTTTACGTTTTAGAAGTTTGACCTGGTATGAGGTTTTACTTTTTAGAAGTTAGACCTGGTATGAGGTTTTATTTTTTAGAAGTTAGACCTGGTATGAGGTTTTACTTTTTAGAAGTAAGACCAGAAGAGCTAGGGCGCACATGAAATTTGGATTCAGTGTTTCAAACATCCAATGTTCAGAAATCGAAGACAAGAACTCACATTTTTTGATTATGGATGACAGGAATTGATCCTGCAACCTCACATATGTTAAGTGTTGTAACCCACTGTTTTCCTACTGAGCCACCGGGGGCAGTTCAAGAAAGGTTTTTCCTTTGCTCTCAGTTTTACATTTTCAACCCCAACCTTGGAGTCATGTTTTATCCATAATTATAGCTAAACGGATAGAATTATCATAAAAAACGCCCGCATGTTATCAGAAATGAGCGGGCCACTGTAACTTGATAATGCCCTCATATTACTTGACGACGGGCCCATTATCACGCCCGTTGTTAGGTGACGTCATAGGATAGGATAGCTGACGTAACGTTCAATAGTGATGTCATCTGGTTTGTTCTATGACGTTTCCATATTTGTAAAAGTGGGTCAGTGATATTCGTGTTGATTGCAGTAAATGTTTCAAAATCGACATTGTTGTTTCTTTTTATTTGATAACAAATTCCATCCATTTTAGCTATAATAACGGTAACGCTATTTTTCAGGGCATTATCATTTGCAGAAGCCCTCGGTCTTTTCAACTGCCCTCCTTCGTCGGGCAGTTAATGGAAGACCTCGGGCTTCTGCAAATGATAATGCCCTGAAAAATAGCGTTACCCTTATACTAACAAACTCTGCTTGTAACATGCAGGAGTGGTGAGAAGTCCCCTACCTTCTCCAGCTCAGCCTCCATAAGAGCCAGGCGCTCCCGAAGGTCATGGTTCTTGGCAGCACTGGTCTCCAGCTGCACCGTCAGCTCCTGGGTGTGTAGCAGCGACTTGCTGAGGGACTTCTTCAGACTGTCCTTGTCCTTCTCCACCAGCAGCTTCTCCTGCACAGAGACACACGGGATACACCTGACACAGGTACACACAGGGGACACCTGACACAGGTACACAATCGATACACCTGACACAGGTACACACGGGGGACACCTGACACAGGTACACACAGGGGACACCTGACACAGGTACACAATCGATACACCTGACACAGGTACACACGGGAAACACCTGACACAGGTACACACAAAACAACTGACACAGGTACACACGGGAAACACCTGACACAGGTACACACACTCCACATGGGAAACACCTGACACAGGTACACACACTCCACACGGGAAACACCTGACACAGGTACACACACTCCACATGGGAAACACCTGACACAGGTACACACACTCCACACGGGAAACACCTGACACAGGTACACACACTCCACATGGGATACACCTGACACAGGTACACACACTCCACATGGGAAACACCTGACACAGGTACACACACTCCACACGGGAAACACCTGACACAGGTACACACACTCCACACGGGAAACACCTGACACAGGTACACACACTCCACATGGGATACACCTGACACAGGTACACACACTCCACATGGGAAACACCTGACACAGGTACACACACTCCACATGGGAAACACCTGACACAGGTACACACACTCCACATGGGAAACACCTGACACAGGTATACACACTCCACACGGGAAACACCTGACACAGGTACACACACTCCACATGGGAAACACCTGACACAGGTACACACACTCCACACGGGAAACACCTGACACAGGTACACACACTCCACAGGTTAACACACTTCAGGGTCTGGATACATCCTAGAGGCACATGCATACACTACACACTAAACAGGGTCTGGATACACCCTAGAGGCACATGCATACACTACACACTAATCAGGGTCTGGATACACCCTAGAGGCACATGCATACACTACACACTAATCAGGGTCTGGATAAACCCTAGAGGCACATGCATACACTACACACTAAACAGGGTCAGGATACACCCTAGAGGCACATGCATACACTACACACTAAACAGGGTCTGGATACACCCTAGAGGCACATGCATACACTACACATTAAACAGGGTCTGGATACACCCTAGAGGCACATGCATACACTACACACTGAACAGGGTCTGGATACACCCTAGAGGCACGTGCATACACTACACACTAAACAGGGTCTGGATACACCCTAGAGGCACATGCATACACTACACACTAAAAGGGTCTGGATACACCCTAGAGGCACATGCATACACTACATGGTCTGGATACATCCTAGAGGCACATGCATACACTACACACTTAACAGGGTCTGGATACACCCTAGAGGCACATGCATACACTACATGGTCTGGATACATCCTAGAGGCACATGCATACACTACACACTAAACAGGGTCTGGATACGCCCTAGAGGCACATGCATACACTACACACTAAAAGGGTCTGGATACACCCTAGAGGCACATGCATACACTACATGGTCTGGATACATCCTAGAGGCACATGCATACACTACACACTTAACAGGGTCTGGATACACCCTAGAGGCACATGCATACACTACATGGTCTGGATACATCCTAGAGGCACATGCATACACTACACACTAAACAGGGTCTGGATACACCCTAGAGGCACATGCATACACTACACACTTAACAGGGTCTGGATACACCCTAGAGGCACACAGACACTACACATTGTCTGGATATGTGTTACAGGTACACACACTACATGGTCTGGATACACCCTAGAGGCACATGCATACACTACACACTAAACAGGGTCTGGATACACCCTAGAGGCACATCCATACACTACACACTAAACAGGGTCTGGATACACCCTAGAGGCACATGCATACACTACATGGTCTGGATACATCCTAGAGGCACATGCATACACTACACACTAAACAGGGTCTGGATACACCCTAGAGGCACATGCATACACTACACACTGAACAGGGTCTGGATACGCCCTAGAGGCACATGCATACACTACACACTAAACAGGGTCTGGATACACCCTAGAGGCACATGCATACACTACACACTAAAAGGGTCTGGATACACCCTAGAGGCACATGCATACACTACATGGTCTGGATACATCCTAGAGGCACATGCATACACTACACACTTAACAGGGTCTGGATACACCCTAGAGGCACATGCATACACTACACACTTAACAGGGTCTGGATACACCCTAGAGGCACATGCATACACTACATGGTCTGGATACATCCTAGAGGCACATGCATACACTACACACTTAACAGGGTCTGGATACACCCTAGAGGCACACAGACACTAAACATTGTCTGGATATGTGTTACAGTTATACAAACTACATGGTCTGGATACATCCTAGAGGCACATGCATACACTACACACTAAACAGGGTCTGGATACACCCTAGAGGCACATGCATACACTACACACTAAACAGGGTCTGGATACACCCTAGAGGCACATGCATACACTACATGGTCTGGATATACCCTAGAGGCACACAGACAATACACACTAAACAGGGTCTGGATACATCCTAGAGGCACATGCATACACTACACACTAAACAGGGTCTGGATACATCCTAGAGGCACATGCATACACTATACACTAAACAGGGTCTGGATACATCCTAGAGGCACATGCATACACTACATGGTCTGGATATACCCTAGAGGCACATGCATACACTACACACTAAACAGGGTCTGGATACATCCTAGAGGCACATGCATACACTACACACTAAACAGGGTCTGGATATACCCTAGAGGCACATGCATACACTACACACTAAACAGGGTCTGGATACACCCTAGAGGCACATGCATACACTACACACTAAACAGGGTCTGGATACACCCTAGAGGCACATGCATACACTACATGGTCTGGATATACCCTAGAGGCACACAGACAATACACACTAAACAGGGTCTGGATACATCCTAGAGGCACATGCATACACTACACACTAAACAGGGTCTGGATACACCCTAGAGGCACATGCATACACTACACACTAAACAGGGTCTGGATACATCCTAGAGGCACATGCATACACTACATGGTCTGGATATACCCTAGAGGCACACAGACAATACACACTAAACAGGGTCTGGATACATCCTAGAGGCACATGCATACACTACACACTAAACAGGGTCTGGATACATCCTAGAGGCACATGCATACACTACATGGTCTGGATATACCCTAGAGGCACACTGACAATACACACTAAACAGGGTCTGGATACATCCTAGAGGCACATGCATACACTACATGGTCTGGATATACCCTAGAGGCACACAGACAATACACACTAAACAGGGTCTGGATACATCCTAGAGGCACATGCATACACTACACACTAAACAGGGTCTGGATACATCCTAGAGGCACATGCATACACTACATGGTCTGGATACACCCTAGAGGCACACAGACAATACACACTAAACAGGGTCTGGATACACCCTAGAGGCACATGCATACACTACACACTAAACAGGGTCTGGATATACCCTAGAGGCACATGCATACACTACACACTAAACAGGGTCTGGATACACCCTAGAGGCACATGCATACACTACACACTAAACAGGGTCTGGATACATCCTAGAGGCACATGCATACACTACATGGTCTGGATATACCCTAGAGGCACACAGACAATACACACTAAACAGGGTCTGGATACATCCTAGAGGCACATGCATACACTACACACTAAACAGGGTCTGGATATACCCTAGAGGCACACAGACAATACACACTAAACAGGGTCTGGATACATCCTAGAGGCACATGCATACACTACATGGTCTGGATATACCCTAGAGGCACACAGACAATACACACTAAACAGGGTCTGGATACATCCTAGAGGCACATGCATACACTACATGGTCTGGATACACCCTAGAGGCACACAGACAATACACACTAAACAGGGTTTGGATACATCCTAGAGGCACATGCATACACTACACACTAAACAGGGTCTAGATATACCCTAGAGGCACACAGACAATACACACTAAACAGGGTCTGGATACATCCTAGAGGCACATGCATACACTACATGGTCTGGATATACCCTAGAGGCACACAGACAATACACACTAAACAGGGTCTGGATACATCCTAGAGGCACATGCATACACTACACACTAAACAGGGTCTGGATATACCCTAGAGGCACACAGACAATACACACTAAACAGGGTCTGGATACATCCTAGAGGCACATGCATACACTACATGGTCTGGATATACCCTAGAGGCACACAGACAATACACACTTAACAGGGTCTGGATACATCCTAGAGGCACATGCATACACTACACACTAAACAGGGTCTGGATATACCCTAGAGGCACACAGACAATACACACTAAACAGGGTCTGGATACATCCTAGAGGCACATGCATACACTACATGGTCTGGATATACCCTAGAGGCACACAGACAATACACACTAAACAGGGTCTGGATACATCCTAGAGGCACATGCATACACTACACACTAAACAGGGTCTGGATATACCCTAGAGGCACACAGACAATACACACTAAACAGGGTCTGGATACATCCTAGAGGCACATGCATACACTACATGGTCTGGATATACCCTAGAGGCACACAGACAATACACACTTAACAGGGTCTGGATACATCCTAGAGGCACATGCATACACTACATGGTCTGGATATACCCTAGAGGCACACAGACAATACACACTTAACAGGGTCTGGATACACCCTAGAGGCACATGCATACACTACATGGTCTGGATATACCCTAGAGGCACACATACACTACACACTAAACAGGGTCTGGATACATCCTAGAGGCACATGCATACACTACATGGTCTGGATACATCCTAGAGGCACACAGACAATACACACTAAACAGGGTCTGGATACATCCTAGAGGCACATGCATACACTACATGGTCTGGATACATCCTAGAGGCACACAGACAATACACACTAAACAGGGTCTGGATACATCCTAGAGGCACATGCATACACTACACACTAAACAGGGTCTGGATATACCCTAGAGGCACACATACACTACACACTAAACAGGGTCTGGATACATCCTAGAGGCACATGCATACACTACATGGTCTGGATACATCCTAGAGGCACACAGACAATACACACTAAACAGGGTCTGGATACATCCTAGAGGCACATGCATACACTACATGGTCTGGATACATCCTAGAGGCACACAGACAATACACACTAAACAGGGTCTGGATACATCCTAGAGGCACATGCATACAATACACACTAAACAGGGTCTGGATACATCCTAGAGGCACATGCATACACTACACACTAAACAGGGTCTGGATACATCCTAGAGGCACATGCATACACTACACACTTAACAGGGTCTGGATATACCCTAGAGGCACACAGACAATACACACTAAACAGGGTCTGGATACATCCTAGAGGCACATGCATACACTACACACTTAACAGGGTCTGGATATACCCTAGAGGCACACAGACAATACACACTAAACAGGGTCTGGATACATCCTAGAGGCACATGCATACACTACACACTAAACAGGGTCTGGATATACCCTAGAGGCACACAGACAATACACACTAAACAGGGTCTGGATACATCCTAGAGGCACATGCATACACTACATGGTCTGGATATACCCTAGAGGCACATGCATACACTACACACTTAACAGGGTCTGGATATACCCTAGAGGCACACAGACAATACACACTAAACAGGGTCTGGATACACCCTAGAGGCACATGCATACACTACATGGTCTGGATATACCCTAGAGGCACACAGACAATACACACTAAACAGGGTCTGGATACATCCTAGAGGCACATGCATACACTACACACTTAACAGGGTCTGGATATACCCTAGAGGCACACAGACAATACACACTAAACAGGGTCTGGATACACGTTTCAGGTACACACACTACAGTACATGGTCTGGATACACCATAATTGCTTTGTAAAACAGTGCCCTGGAAAACAGTTAGAGGGAACTCAAGTCTAGTACATAGTGTTCAACTGACAACTAGGTTACAGAAATAATTACCTTAGCTAATGTTTCCAGCTTGTCTTCAAACTTCCTGACTTTTGACAATAATGAATCCAGTTCACCTCGCTTGTTGGTCATCTCCTTCTGCATCTTGTCGGCATACCTCACAGCTGGGGAGTATAACTCAGACTTTACACCACCAGTGATCATTATAACAGCAACATTAACCTCCACAACACACCAGTTACCATGGGTACAGCAATACACACCATTACGACACCAGTTATCCTGGTTACAGCAGTATACACATCAAAATGTTTCCTTTGTTACAGCAACACATACCTCTACAACATGTTTCCTTGGTTACAGACACACATACCTCTACAACATGTTTCCTTGGTTACAGCAACACATACCTCTACAACATGGTTCCTTGGTTACAGCAACACATACCTCTACAACATGTTTCCTTGGTTACAGCAACACATACCTCTACAACATGTTTCCTTGGTTACAGACACACATACCTCTACAACATGTTTCCTTAGTTACAGTAACACATACCTCTACAACATGTTTCCTTAGTTACAGTAACACATACCTCTACAAGATGTTTCCTTGGTTACAGGGATACATAGCTCTACAACATGTTTCCTTAGTTACAGCAACAGCAACACATACCTCTAAAACATGTTTCCTTGGATACAGACACACATAGCTCTACAACATGTTTCCTTGGTTACAGCAACACATACCTCTACAACATGGTTCCTTGGTTACAGACACACATACCTCTACAACATGTTTCCTTAGTTACAGTAACACATACCTCTACAAGATGTTTCCTTGGTTACAGACATACATAGCTCTACAACATGTTTCCTTGGTTACAGCAACAGCAACACATACCTCTACAACATGTTTCCTTGGTTACAGCAACACATACCTCCACGACATGTTTCCTTGGTTACAGACACACATACCTCCACGACATGTTTCCTTGGATACAGACACACATAGCTCTACAACATGTTTCCTTGGTTACAGCAACACATACCTCTACAACATGGTTCCTTGGTTACAGACACACATACCTCTACAACATGTTTCCTTAGTTGCAGTAACACATACCTCTACAAGATGTTTCCTTGGTTACAGACATACATAGCTCTACAACATGTTTCCTTAGTTACAGCAACAGCAACACATACCTCTACAACATGTTTCCTTGGTTACAGACACACATACCTCTACAACATGTTTCCTTGGTTACAGCAACAGCAACACATACCTCTACAATATGTTTCCTTGGTTACAGACACACATACCTCTACAACATGTTTCCTTGGTTACAGCAACAGCAACACATACCTCCACGACATGTTTCCTTGGTTACAGACACACATACCTCTACAACATGTTTCCTTGGTTACAGACACACATACCTCTACAACATGTTTCCTTAGTTACAGCAACACATACCTCTACAACATGTTTCCTTGGTTACAGACACACATACCTCTACAACATGTTTCCTTGGTTACAGCAAAAGCAACACATACCTCTACAATATGTTTCCTTGGTTACAGACACACATACCTCTACAACATGTTTCCTTAGTTACAGCAACACATACCTCTACAACATGTTTCCTTGGTTACAGACACACATACCTCTACGACATGTTTCCTTGGTTACAGCAACAGCAACACATACCTCTACAACATGTTTCCTTGGTTACAGCAACACATACGTCCACGACATGTTTCCTTGGTTACAGCAACACATACCTCCATGACATGTTTCCTTGGTTACAGCAACACATACCTCTACAACATGTTTCCTTGGTTACAGACACAGATACCTCTACAACATGGTTCCTTGGTTACAGACACACATAGCTCTACAACATGTTTCCTTGGTTACAGACACACATACCTCTACGACATGTTTCCTTGGTTACAGACACACATACCTCTACAACATGTTTCCTTGGTTACAGACACACACACGTCTAAAACATTTTCTCTGGTGCCTGGAAAATACACCTCAACCCTACAATTGTGTGGCGAAACCTGAAGTTATTCCTACAATTCATCACTACTGATGACATAATAGGGGGATATTTCAGCGACCTCATCAGGGTCATGGACTCCCCAGGACACAAATCTTCCGTCTGGGTCGGGATGGCCCCAGGATCTAACCAATTAGGCAACCGAGTCAGGCCCCATTCTGCATGCTAATTTGACGTAATAAATGTCTATTTTGACATTTCGATGTGATGGTGATGATGCACAAATCAGTATATTGATGTACTCATCATGTTTATGATGGTTATTATGATGATTATGAGAATATCAGTATCAGCTGCACCCACCTTTATTGTCGACCGAGTCCTTGCTTCTCAGAGTCTTCTGGGCTAACTTCACGTCATGTTCTGCACCTATAACAAGTTACATGTGACAATTAATACTCTTTATACTGGTAGTCACCAACAAATGGTCTTGTGTTGCGCCTGTAGTTTCAAGTTTGTATGTGGCCTCATGGCCTGCAGTAAATTTATGTCTTGACCTTTTTGCCACAATATACTTTAATTTTTCAAACAAGTGCCTGAACTTCAGGCCCTGAAGAGCTTAGTCTATGCGTCCTGATGGCAGCCTGGCATTGTTTTATATCTCAAATACTGGCACAAGTGTTTCGGCAAACATAACCTAATAGAAATTCTACCCACCTGCCATGAGTTGAGATTTTCCTACACAGTGGGGAACTTGCTACATCCACATGATAAACACAGCCCTCAAAATTCATACTAGTCCACTGGCCCAAGATTACGAAACTGTGCTGAGCACAAGTGAAAATCCAACAACGGCTGTCCTCATTGACTACCAGCACTTGAGGATATACTCCTGACCCATTACTCAATGCTTCAGTTTGGCTTCAAATTGGAACTTAACCAAACTGTAATTATAATAAAGTAAACATTGCCGCCTCCTGCAAGCAGGCCTCACTACAACCTTACACTTTCCAAATAGTCTTTTGTGCTCGTCTTTAATAAATACACTTCTAAGGCTGAAAAGATGGTCAACACAATACTAAGCATCTATAGCACATTCAATACCTTTTAACTTGGATTGCAGTTTACTTATTTCCTTCTCATAACTTGACCTCAGTTTCGACAGCTCCTTCTTAATCATGTCTTTAGTCTGAGTTATATTGGCAACCTCCAGCCGGCTGTCCTTCAGCTCCTTGAACAGGTTGTCCTTCTCCTGATGCATAATGTCCATCTCCTGCACCTTGAGAGCCAAGTCCTCCGTCAGCCTCATCCTCTCCTCCTCCAAATCTCGAACACGTTTTTCCCTCAACCGCAATTTCTTCCCCAAGCTGTCCTGCCCCGTCCTCAATTCATCAACTGCCGCCGACTTTTCATTTAACAAATATATAATCCTCTCTTTCTCCTCACGAATATTTTCACTAGTCTTAGAATTGGCTTCCACAAGCTGAGATATGTTGTCTGACTGCTGCTTCAGAGCCAAAACATTTCTCTCCTTCTCGTCCACTTGCATTAAAAGTTTCTCTTTGGTAGCCTTCAGCTGTGAAAGCTCCTCATTCTTCTGTTCAAGGAGGCTGAAATAGTAGTCTTTTTCTTTTGACACTCGCTCAACATCTCCCTTCCGATCACTGACTAGTTCAGACAGATGCCTCTTTTCACTCATGGCAGCCTCGAGCTGGATGCGAGCAGACTCTAGTTTCTCGGTGAGTTCCTTCACCTGCTCCTTGAAGTTGGCCATCTCGGACTTGGCCACCTCAAGTTCCACAGTGACCTTGCTGCACTTCTCTGTCTGACTGGTCAGCTGGGCCATCAGGCTCCGGATGTGGTCATTGCTGCGATCTCGTTCAGTCTTCTCCGCAGTTGATACCTTGAGGATTGTCACAAAAAGAACATCCAGATCAGAATTATTTTGCTTGTGTGATGTTTAAAGCCACATTACCTCAACTGTATGACTGCAGTCTGTAAATAATTGAGTGTTGACCAAACAATCCAGTGATTGACACACGATGATATGCATCAATCAAGTCAAGACGCCTGGAAACCTGTTATTCGCCTCTTACGACAAGCATGAGTAGTTGAAGACGAACCCTAATCCAGATCTTCACGGGGTAGGCCTCATAACACTGGTCACTTAATTGTATCAATATATTGTATCTGTAGGAATACAACCATCTTGGTATTAATTGTATAGATACCTAATTTTACTAAGTGACCAATGTTTTAAGACCTACATACTTATTTTGAGTGGGGACAAGCAGGTAGCCTATAGGTCAAAACTTGCATGTCGCACCCAAGACCTACAGGGGTACAATCTGTCCCCTGCCACCATTTTGAGTGGAGTAAGTCTTGGATTAAGTGTGTCATGCTACACAGACAACTGGCTTACAAACCATCTAAAGTACCCTTTGATTAACATGCCACACGCATGTAACACAATCATCTGATCCGCAGTTTAGTTGGCACTATGCCAAGAAGGGGATGTTCTGGCCCTGATCCAGATGTAAGCAGATCTCACCCGGTCCTGCAGCTGTGTGGAACACTCCTGCTTGACCACGTCCAGCATCTTCTCCAGCCTGTCCACGTCCTGCTGCCTGCCGGTCAGCGAGTTCTCCGTCAGTAGCAGCTTGCTCCTCAGCTCCTCCTCACGCTCCAGCTGCTTCTTGATGCGGACACGCTCCATCTCCAGCTCTGCCTCCAGCCTCGACACACACCCCTGCCGGCACACACTTCTTATAAATACATTTATATACATACAAACACACATACGGTCCGTCTCCAGCTCCGTCTAAAGGCTCAACACGCACCCCTGCCGGGACACACTTCTTATATATATATATATATATATATATATATATATATATACATGCACACACACGCACGCACACGCACACGCACGCACACGCACACACACACACACCAGGGGTCCGGAAACCGTCATATGCGCCGGACATGTCCGATTGGGAATCTCAAATGTCCGGTTTAAAATATTGCTTACCGGACATTTAAATTTTTCTGTCCTGACATTTTAAAAAGTATTGTCCGGACATTCTTAAATTTTGACCGGACATGATCAACAGTTAGGACTGAGCAGTTTCTGTCTGCAGTTGTAACACAATGAAGATTATCTACACTGACAAGCTTTGTTTGTTTTGATTGCTGTAAATACATCGTACCTACAATGATAGTCCAATCGGTCAATCACTGTAATAGGCAATAAACTGAGTTGACACTGATTAATCGAGGATTAATTACTGAGAACATCTTGTTAATTTGAGTAAAATGTGTTTACAACTGTACATAAATACCTTGCATCATCGATGTACCTCATTATCCTCACAATGCTACGATACGTAACCTCAGACAAGAAGCGAAAGCGTGACGACAGCCAGTCGACCGATGCAGATCAGTCGAGCGGATCTGCCAAACCCTCAAAGTCTGAATGATCATTTTGTAAGTCGTGGCTAACGACTTTCACTTGGTTGACATACTATGAGGCTTTGCAGATTTTATTGTTTTCAGTAGCTAGTCGTATATTGAATCTTGATTGACCGCCATTTTGCTTTCTGTGACGATCGATATCAAATTTTTTTATGGTCAATAATTAAGTACAGATGAAAAAGTATTCAAATAACTATTGCTATCAACGATAGTTTAGGATTTATAATTATATTATCTGTCTTGTTTTTAAATAATCTTTAAATTAAAAAAACCCTTTTCCCGTGAGGTCACGTGATAACCAAATATGGGATAATAGTCTCGATCCAAATGTTACAATGCGTACACTTGAGCAGACTCATGAATATTAATTAGACCGTTCACAACGTTGACAGATCGTTATTATAACAGAAACAAACGTATGTTTTCCATATATATCTAAAATGATATTATTTGTTATTAATTGTCCGGTGAATTAAACAATTTAAATTGAAACAATTCATAATTCATCATATTATGAATACGTAACAACTTGTAATTTGTGTGTAAAAAGTCGTACTAAAACACGCTGTTTGAAGGGGGCGTGGCATAAATGTAAATGTCCGATTGGGATTTTAAATTTTCCGGACCCCTGACACACACACTTCTAATAAATACATATGTACACGCACACACACACACACACACACTCCGTCTCGAGACTCGACACACACCCTTGCCACCACACACTTCTTATAAATATATATATACACACACACACACTCCATCTCCAGCCTCGACACACAGGCCTGTTGCCAAACACTTCTTATAAATACATATAGACACGCACACACACACACACACGCTCCGTCTCCAGCCTTGACACACAGCCCTGCCGCCACACACTTCTTATAAATATATATATACACACACACACACTCCATCTCCAGCCTCGACACACAGGCCTGTTGCCACACACTTCTTATAAATACATATATACACACACACACTCCATCTCCAGCCTCGACACACAGCCCTGCTGCCACACACTTCTTATAAATATATATATACACACACACACACTCCGTCTCCAGCCTCGACACACAGGCCTGTTGCCACACACTTCTTATAAATACATATATACACACACACACTCCATCTCCAGCCTCGACACACAGCCCTGCCGCCACACACTTCTTATAAATATATATCAACACACACACACACACTCCATCTCCAGCCTCGACACACAGGCCTGTTGCCACACACTTCTTATAAATACATATAGACACACACACACACTCCATCTCCAGCCTCGACACACAGCCCTGCCGCCACACACTTCTTATAAATATATATATACACACACACACTCCATCTCCAGCCTCGACAAACAGGCCTGTTGCCACACACTTCTTATAAATACATATATACACACACACACTCCATCTCCAGCCTCGACACACAGCCCTGCTGCCACACACTTCTTATAAATATATATATACACACACACACGCTCCGTCTCCAGCCTCGACACACAGGCCTGCTGCCACACACTTCTTATAAATACATATAGACACGCACACACAGACACACACGCTCCGTCTCCAGCCTCGACACACAGGCCTGCTGCCATACACTTCTTATAAATACATATAGACACGCACACACAGACACACACGCTCCGTCTCCAGCCTCGACACACAGGCCTGCTGCCACACACTTCTTATAAATATATATATACACACACACACACTCCGTCTCCAGCCTCGACACACAGGCCTGTTGCCACACACTTCTTATAAATACATATATACACACACACACTCCATCTCCAGCCTCGACACACAGCCCTGCCGCCACACACTTCTTATAAATACATATATACACACACACACTCCATCTCCAGCCTCGACACACAGGCCTGTTGCCACACACTTCTTATAAATATATATATACACACACACACGCTCCGTCTCCAGCCTCGACACACAGCCCTGCTGCCACACACTTCTTATAAATATATATATACACACACACACACTCCGTCTCCAGCCTCGACACACAGGCCTGTTGCCACACACTTCTTATAAATACATATATACACACACACACTCCATCTCCAGCCTCGACACACAGCCCTGCTGCCACACACTTCTTATAAATATATATATACACACACACACACTCCGTCTCCAGCCTCGACACACAGGCCTGTTGCCACACACTTCTTATAAATACATATATACACACACACACTCCATCTCCAGCCTCGACACACAGCCCTGCCGCCACACACTTCTTATAAATATATATCAACACACACACACACACTCCATCTCCAGCCTCGACACACAGGCCTGTTGCCACACACTTCTTATAAATACATATAGACACACACACACACTCCATCTCCAGCCTCGACACACAGCCCTGCCGCCACACACTTCTTATAAATATATATATACACACACACACTCCATCTCCAGCCTCGACAAACAGGCCTGTTGCCACACACTTCTTATAAATACATATATACACACACACACTCCATCTCCAGCCTCGACACACAGCCCTGCCGCCACACACTTCTTATAAATATATATCAACACACACACACACACTCCATCTCCAGCCTCGACACACAGGCCTGTTGCCACACACTTCTTATAAATACATATAGACACACACACACACTCCATCTCCAGCCTCGACACACAGCCCTGCCGCCACACACTTCTTATAAATATATATATACACACACACACTCCATCTCCAGCCTCGACACACAGGCCTGTTGCCACACACTTCTTATAAATATATATATATACACACACACACTCCATCTCCAGCCTCGACACACAGGCCTGTTGCCACACACTTCTTATAAATATATATATACACACACACACACTCCATCTCCAGCCTCGACACACAGGCCTGTTGCCACACACTTCTTATAAATATATATATACACACACACACGCTCCGTCTCCAGCCTCGACACACAGCCCTGCTGCCACACACTTCTTATAAATATATATATACACACACACACGCTCCGTCTCCAGCCTCGACACACAGGCCTGCTGCCACACACTTCTTATAAATACATATAGACACGCACACACAGACACACACGCTCCGTCTCCAGCCTCGACACACAGGCCTGTTGCCACACACTTCTTATAAATACATATAGACACGCACACACAGACACAAACGCTCCGTCTCCAGCCTCGACACACAGGCCTGCTGCCACACACTTCTTATAAATACATATAGACACGCACACACAGACACACACGCTCCGTCTCCAGCCTCGACACACAGGCCTGTTGCCACACACTTCTTATAAATACATATAGACACGCACACACAGACACACACGCTCCGTCTCCAGCCTCGACACACAGGCCTGCTGCCACACACTTCTTATAAATACATATAGACACGCACACACAGACACACACACTCCATCTCCAGCCTCGACACACAGCCCTGCTGCCACACACTTCTTATAAATACATATATACACACACACACTCCGTCTCCAGCCTCGACACACAGGCCTGTTGCCACACACTTCTTATAAATACATATATACACACACACACTCCATCTCCAGCATCGACACACAGCCCTGCTGCCACACACTTCTTATAAATATATATATACACACACACACACTCCGTCTCCAGCCTCGACACACAGGCCTGTTGCCACACACTTCTTATAAATACATATATACACACACACACTCCATCTCCAGCCTCGACACACAGCCCTGCCGCCACACACTTCTTATAAATATATATCAACACACACACACACACTCCATCTCCAGCCTCGACACACAGTCCTGTTGCCACACACTTCTTATAAATACATATAGACACACACACACACTCCATCTCCAGCCTCGACACACAGCCCTGCCGCCACACACTTCTTATAAATATATATATATATACACACACACACTCCATCTCCAGCCTCGACACACAGGCCTGTTGCCACACACTTCTTATAAATATATATATACACACACACACACTCCATCTCCAGCCTCGACACACAGGCCTGTTGCCACACACTTCTTATAAATATATATATACACACACGCTCCGTCTCCAGCCTCGACACACAGCCCTGCTGCCACACACTTCTTATAAATATATATATACACACACACACACTCCGTCTCCAGCCTCGACACACAGGCCTGCTGCCACACACTTCTTATAAATACATATAGACACGCACACACAGACACACACGCTCCGTCTCCAGCCTCGACACACAGGCCTGTTGCCACACACTTCTTATAAATACATATAGACACGCACACACAGACACACACGCTCCGTCTCCAGCCTCGACACACAGGCCTGCTGCCACACACTTCTTATAAATACATATAGACACGCACACACAGACACACACGCTCCGTCTCCAGCCTCGACACACAGGCCTGCTGCCACACACTTCTTATAAATACATATAGACACGCACACACAGACACACACGCTCCGTCTCCAGCCTCGACACACAGGCCTGCTGCCACACACTTCTTATAAATACATATAGACACGCACACACAGACACACACGCTCCGTCTCCAGCCTCGACACACAGGCCTGTTGCCACACACTTCTTATAAATACATATAGACACGCACACACAGACACACACGCTCCGTCTCCAGCCTCGACACACAGGCCTGCTGCCACACACTTCTTATAAATACATATAGACACGCACACACAGACACACACGCTCCGTCTCCAGCCTCGACACACAGGCCTGCTGCCACACACTTCTTATAAATACATATAGACACGCACACACAGACACACACGCTCTGTCTCCAGCCTCGACACACAGGCCTGCTGCCACACACTTCTTATAAATACATATAGACACGCACACACAGACACACACGCTCCGTCTCCAGCCTCGACACACAGGCCTGCTGCCACACACTTCTTATAAATACATATAGACACGCACACACAGACACACACGCTCCGTCTCCAGCCTCGACACACAGGCCTGCTGCCACACACTTCTTATAAATACATATAGACACGCACACACAGACACACACGCTCCGTCTCCAGCCTCGACACACAGGCCTGCTGCCATACACTTCTTATAAATACATATAGACACGCACACACAGACACACACGCTCCGTCTCCAGCCTCGACACACAGGCCTGCTGCCACACACTTCTTATAAATACATATAGACACGCACACACAGACACACACACTCCATCTCCAGCCTCGACACACAGCCCTGCTGCCACACACTTCTTATAAATATATATATACACACACACACTCCATCTCCAGCCTCGACACACAGGCCTGTTGCCACACACTTCTTATAAATACATATAGACACGCACACACAGACACACACGCTCCGTCTCCAGCCTCGACACACAGGCCTGTTGCCACACACTTCTTATAAATACATATAGACACGCACACACAGACACACACGCTCCGTCTCCAGCCTCGACACACAGGCCTGTTGCCACACACTTCTTATAAATATATATATACACACACACACACTCCATCTCCAGCCTCGACACACAGCCCTGCTGCCACACACTTCTTATAAATATATATATACACACACACACTCCATCTCCAGCCTCGACACACAGGCCTGTTGCCACACACTTCTTATAAATATATATATACACACACACACACTCCATCTCCAGCCTCGACACACAGCCCTGCTGCCACACACTTCTTATAAATATATATATACACACACACACTCCATCTCCAGCCTCGACACACAGGCCTGTTGCCACACACTTCTTATAAATACATATAGACACGCACACACAGACACACACGCTCCATCTCCAGCCTCGACACACAGGCCTGTTGCCACACACTTCTTATAAATATATATATACACACACACACACTCCATCTCCAGCCTCGACACACAGGCCTGTTGCCACACACTTCTTATAAATATATATATACATACACACACACACAGACACACACACGCTCCGTCTCCAGCTCTGCCTCCAGCCTCAACACACAGCCCTGCTGCCACACACTTCTTATAAAATACATATAGACACGCACACACAGACACACACGCTCCGTCTCCAGCCTCGACACACAGCCCTTCCGCCACACACTTCTAATAAGCTGCATTTCTTCATAACCATCCCTAATCCACACATTACTTGTTTTAAGAATATCAATATGCAGCAACATTCAATTGTAAGTCAGTGACGCTATAGTCTAGAAATGCTTCTGCAACAACCCCATTGATTGAAATATGCGACATATCATATAATGGGAATAACTTAAGACATATACCAAAAAAGATGCATCTTCATGTCTGACTCTATGATTCTTGGTGCACAGTTTCACTATCGGAACTTGATTGACTGAGATACCATTGAGCAGTGATTACGCAAGCACACCAGCAGACATTTTCAATCCAATGCAATATAAAAAAAAGTCAAATGCACAATATGGCAATACACGTTTCTCAAAGCAAAATTAATGAATCATTGTATATGGCACCAATTTTTTAAACTTCTATATCTATCGATTTCTTATTCATTTCTGTAAAAGTTAAATAAATTTTGGAACAAAATCTGGAAAAAAACCCACTAAACATGATGTAAATCTTGACAAACTGATAAGTATTTCACTTGACTGGAACCACATCCGCTCACCTACCAGATGAGGAGCGTCATCACATACAGGTTCCCCTTTCAACATTTCAACATTGGCCGCCTCTGTGGTCTAGTAGTAGAGTGTCCGCCCAGAGAGCAGAAGGTCCAGGGTTCCATCCCCAGCCGCGTCATACCAAAAGACGTTAAAAGATGGTACTTGTGTTGCTACCATGTCTGGCACTCGACATTAAGGGGCTAAAACAAGGACTGGTCGGCTCGGAGTTAGTATACTGTGTCTGAGAGGGGTATTCATGTTACACTGCGGCATGGTATCTCAGTGAGCTAGCATTGTAGATCGGCATCAGTCTGGACAAGTTGCTATTTAAGTGCAATATTCTCGGACGCGACGTTAAGCCCATTTCACCTTTCAGCATTGGGTCATTCCACTTAGAAGACGGCAGTCGCATTAAGCATCAAAGCTCAGCAGTCCTGGTCATAACCCATCAGTAAGGGAATCCCTTGCTTCTAAAATGCTACCCTCTCAACCATGGTACACCTGCATAAGATAGTCTAGGAATAACTCACTACCTGGAAGTCGTGTATATGCGTTTCCATGGCACCACATTTCCTGCCGGTCTCCTCTCGGTCAGCTCTCATCACACTGAGGTCTCTCTGCACTTTGTCCAGGCTGTGCTCCAGGGCGTCTCTCTGGCAGGACACAGGTTACCATGGTTACATGTCTGATCCTGTGTCTTTGTTTAAACTGTACATGTATCAACTGAAATACCTACTATTATACCTATTATTATTCCTAGTATGTTGTCATGTAAAGAGTACTATAAACATGATAAAATGAATTCCTGACAAAATTCCTTCATAATGTAAACTGTTCTGCTTGAACTAAAACTCCTTCTGCTTCTGAGTACCCTTGCACTGTTGCTGATTTGAGGAATAATTAATTAAAACTATTTATTTGAAAGCACATCAGACTAAATTGAACTAAACAAATTGCATGCGATTCCATGTCATTTGATTAGCTAACCAAGCTGCTTACGCTTCCAGAAACCAAAAAGAAATTAAGCCACGCCCACCAGTGGACTTCTGTTTCCTGATAATAGTGTGAGTGAGTGAGTGAGTGAGTGAGTATGGTTTTACGCCGCATTTAGCAATATTCCAGCAATATCACGGCGGGGGACACCAGAAATGGGCTTCACACATTGTACCCAAGTCAGGAATCGAACCGGGGTCTTCGGCGTGACAAGCGAACGCTTTAACCACTAGGCTACCCGACCGCCCCTGATAATAGTGTGGCCGAGGCTTGTGTTGCATCAATGAATATTGTACTTAATTGTTGGTATGTTTGTTTGTTTGTTTGTTTGTTGTTTAACCCTGCACTCGCAATATTCCAGCTGTATGACGTCGGTCCATAAATAATCAAATCTGGACCAGACAATCCAGTGATTGACATCACGACCATCGATCTATGCAATTGGGATATGATGACATGCATCAACTAAGACAGCGAGCCTGACCACCAAATCCTGTTGGTCATACATAATTGCTTTTTACAGCAGGCATGGGTTGCTGAAGACTTATCTACCCCGGATCTTCATGGGTCTGCTCTGAAAGGTATCACTGATTTCCTATTGCTGTCTACAGTGGTTTTATGTGTAATTGATTAAAGAGAGAAGTAAGTATTGTTAACTTATTCATTGATAAGAATTAAATCCAATATATATTTGCGTTTATGGAGGTAAAAACATAACAATGGTGAGGACATTTCTTACTTATCTACCTCCATAAACGCAAAAATATATTGAGATCAATTCTTAAATCAATGTTGACTTGACCAGAGATGGTTAAACTGAAACACTGGAAACTGTGTACGTCAGACTCAATACTGGACCAAGTGCATGGTCCCACTAAGACAATGTTAACTTATCATAAAGTACATTCTGCCTAATGTGGAATTCCTTTAAAAATACAGTACTGAAATTCTGGGACAAAGGGTCAGTTTATCATGCCTTGGTTCAGTGGATACCTAGCTCTGATGACAATAAACACAGGTCTAAGTACTAATTGGAAACACGTATTAATACAGTAATTCTCATTATGGACAAAACACCAGCAACTTGGTCCACAAGCTATACCATGTACAATGCTATAGTTTCAACAGCATCAACATAAACAGATAATGATGATCAGTTACTTCACAGCTGACTTGGATCAAAACTAGAAACAGCTGTAAGACAAATCTATTCAGTACAAATTTATGATCTCCTCAAGTATTGCTCAGAGTTACCTCCTTTAAACCATAAACGACTTCACACACAGTTTACTGAGCCTGAGAAGTGGAGGATGTTGGTTTTGAGAAGATGTTACCATGAAATCTGCACGTTTGGAAGAAACAGGAGTAAAATATGAAGTTGCTGTGGACAGTTACCCTCTCCTGCCACTTGCTCCGGTCATCAGACTGGTCCTCCTTCAGCCGCTGTACCTTGGTCTCGAGGTCCGTGATGAGGTCGTCCTTCAGCTTCATCTGCTGGTCATACTGGCTCCTGAAGGACACACAAACATCCAGCCATCGCATCACTTGCTTCATAGCAGTGTCAGTATCTACTCTGAAACTTTGCACTCATTGTAATAAAGTGTTGCATATCCATAGAGCTGTCTCCTTTGTTCACCATACCAGCCACTTGAAGAAGTCATCTAGCCATCTGATGCTAATATCTCGCCATCAGACACAAACATCTGGTCATCAAATATCTTGCTATCAGACACAAATATCTTGTCATCAGACATAAACATAGGTCTCTGAGAAGACTGACAAGACTTACTGAAGTACTTGGAGCTGGTTCTGCAGGGATGCGGCCTGTTTGCGGGCGTTGGTGGCTCTCTCATTGGCGGCCTCAAGCTGCAGCTCATGCTCTGATGTCATCTGGGCCACTCTGACAGAAAACAGCCTATGTTTAGGTAACACAAGGATATCAATCCTCCAGGATTTTACCTTGACTTACAAAAGTGGGGACCCCAATAATTTATTTTGAGAGTTCCTGCAGGCAACGTGAGGGTCCTGTAAAGTAATGAAATGGTGTAGTGTACTGTATGTTTTGATAATTACTTTAGAATGAATTAATAATAATGTGGACAGTGGTCATGATTGATGGATGAAATGACAGACGCCCATAACTGCCCTTGATGAGCAGCAGGTACAATGAATATTACTGTGCATCCTTTGGTCGTCACTTAAAACCCTGCTCCTCACTCGAAAAAAACAAGGGAACAGTTCAAAATGACCTAAACATGGCAATATTTAGTTACCTTTTTAAAGCATCTTCTGATTCTCTTTGCAAACTGACAAAAAAAGAAAAAAATACATGCATTTGTGATTTGTGTAGTTTTCGAACATCAATACCAGCACCTGATTCAAACCTGACATGTTACGGATCTGGTGTAAAAGAATATCTTTTAATTTTGATACAATGTTCTTTATCACCTTATATAGGATTCGATGTTGATTGTCATTTAATGCTGCACTTAGCAATATTCCAGCTGTTAGGTGGCGCATGTAAAATAATCAAATCTGGACTCGACACCGTGATTGATATTGAGAGCAACGATGCACACGATTGGGGAAAGACGATATGCCATCAACCAAGACATCGAGGGTGATCACCCGATCCATTTGGTCACCTCTAAAGGCCACCTAGGGTTGCTAGGAACCTATTCTATCACAGAACCAAGATCTGAGCTCTCCCATTACGGACCTTTCATCTGACCAATCAGAGCGTCGCTAAACAGTCCGAATGTGTTTTCTAAACATGCATTGAACCTTGAAAAGGTTAACACGGGGTATTCTGAACGACATTTACAGGGTTTGCAACTGATTACCTAAGACATCAACATCTATCTCTTGCTTCAGTGAGACCAAACTTCGAAACGGAAGAGACTCTCCATTGCCAGTAAGTTCTACCATACATGCACGGACATTCAAAGCATAGCCTGGTTGGATGTCACCAGTTTGTGTGCCATATGAATGCCGTAACGCTAAAAAATACTGTTTTCTGATTGGCAAATGTTGACTTCTTCAAGTTAGTGACGTGACCTGTAATGGGATAGATGCCCTCCGATCTTTGTTTGGCAGTAACGACAGCTAAGATCTGATATTAATGAGATTGAGACCAGATTACCGATGTGGTAGTTTATGTATGATCATTGTTAAAATGTGGTTTAACATTCAAGATTACTGCACTTACATAGCGACGTGCATGCACGGGAGTGTGCACATGTGTGGCTGCTTGTACTAGTCCATACTGATGCCGATTTATAGTGCTAGCCCACTGAGATATGACAGTTTAACATGAATACCCCACTCAGACCCAGTGCACTGACTTAGCCAACCAGTCCTTGTTTTAGCCCCTTAATGCCGAGCACCAACACGAAGTGCCATCTTCTAACATCTTTTGGTATGACAAGGCCGGGGACCGAACCCCAACCTTCCGCTCTCCAGGCAGATGCTCTCCAGGCAGACGCTCTACCACCAGACCACGGAGGCGGTCTTGTGCAATACATGCAACATAAGATATTTTTAAGAGGAAAGGAATCATGTATACTAATCCTGACTCATACTAATTGCTTAGGTAGTAGAAACCTCTTGTGCTGTATCAGACGGGTTTGTCATGTGGTTCGTGTGCACCTGCGTGTGACGGGTGCATTTGGATGAGATGTTTTCTGTTATCCGAGAACACAGCACAGGAAGTTTCCACTACCTATCAGGAATAAGAAGAGGTAAACAGTTCGTATGAGTCAGGGTTAGGTGACAGTTATACATTACTTTATACATGGACACTTACTTCTCATGATAGTCTTTGGCAAGAGTTTGTACTTTCTGGGAAGACACTGACTGAGCTCTATCCAGGTCCTGCTGGAGCTGCAACACAGATATACAACAGTTACCCAGGGTGTAACACATCCCCTGCATAACATGGATATACAACAGTTAACCAGGGTGTAACACATCCCCTGCATAACACGGATATACAACAGTTACCCAGGGTGTAACACATCCCCTGCATAACATGGATATACAACAGTTACCCAGGGTGTAACACATCCCCTGCATAACACAGATATACAACAGTTACCCAGGGTGTAACACAGCACCAGTACAACACAGATATACAACAGTTACCCAGGGTGTAACACATCCCCTGCATAACACAGATATACAACAGTTACCCAGGGTGTAACACATCCCCTGCATAACACAGATATACAACAGTTAACCAGGGTGTAACACATCCCCTGCATAACATGGATATACAACAGTTACCCAGGGTGTAACACATCCCCTGCATAACACAGATATACAACAGTTACCCAGGGTGTAAGACAGCACCTGCATAACACAGATATACAACAGTTACCCAGGGTGTAACACATCCCCTGCATAACATGGATATACAACAGTTACCCAGGGTGTAACACATCCCCTGCATAACACAGATATACAACAGTTAACCAGGGTGTAACACAGCACCAGCACAACACAGATATACAACAGTTACCCAGGGTGTAACACATCCCCTGCATAACATGGATATACAACAGTTAACCAGGGTGTAACACATCCCCTGCATAACACGGATATAAAACAGTTAACCAGGGTGTAACACATCCCCTGCATAACATGGATATACAACAGTTAACCAGGGTGTAACACAGCACCAGCACAACACAGATATACAACAGTTAACTAGGGTGTAACACAGAACCAGCACAACACAGATATACAACAGTTAACCAGGGTGTAATGCAGCACCTGCACAACACGGATATACAACAGTTACCCAGGGTGTAATGCAGCACCTGCACATCACAGATATACAACAGTTAACCAGGGTGTAATGCAGCACCTGCACATCACAGATATACAACAGTTAACCAGGGTGTAACACAGCACAAGCACAACACGGACATACAACAGTTAACCGGGGTGTAATGCAGCACCTGCACATCACAGATATACAACAGTTAACCAGGGTGTAACACAGCACAAGCACAACACGGATATACAACAGTTAACCAGGGTGTAATGCAGCACCTGCACAACACAGATATACAACAGTTAACCAGGGAGTATTGCAGCACCTGCACAACACAGATATACAACAGTTAACCAGGGTGTAACACAGCACCTGCACAACACAGATATACAACAGTTAACCAGGGTGTAACACAGCACCTGCACAACACGGATATACAACAGTTAACCAGGGTGTAATGCAGCACCTGCACATCACAGATATACAACAGTTAACCAGGGTGTAACACAGCACAAGCACAACACGGATATACAACAGTTAACCAGGGTGTAATGCAGCACCTGCACAACACAGCTATACAACAGTTAACCAGGGAGTATTGCAGCACCTGCACAACACAGATATACAACAGTTAACCAGGGTGTAACACAGCACCTGCACAACACAGATATACAACAGTTAACCAGGGTGTAACACAGCACCTGCACAACACGGATATACAACAGTTAACCAGGGTGTAATGCAGCACCTGCACATCACAGATATACAACAGTTAACCAGGGTGTAACACAGCACAAGCACAACACGGATATACAACAGTTAACCAGGGTGTAATGCAGCACCTGCACAACACAGATATACAACAGTTAACCAGGGTGTAACACAGCACCTGCACAACACAGATATACAACAGTTAACCAGGGTGTAATGCAGCACCTGCACAACACGGATATACAACAGTTAACCAGGGTGTAACACAGCACCTGCACAACACAGATATACAACAGTTAACCAGGGAGTATTGCAGCACCTGCACAACACAGATATACAACAGTTAACCAGGGTGTAACACAGCACCTGCACAACACAGATATACAACAGTTAACCAGGGTGTAACACAGCACCTGCACAACACGGATATACAACAGTTAACCAGGGTGTAATGCAGCACCTGCACATCACAGATATACAACAGTTAACCAGGGTGTAACACAGCACAAGCACAACACGGATATACAACAGTTAACCAGGGTGTAATGCAGCACCTGCACAACACAGATATACAACAGTTAACCAGGGATTATTGCAGCACCTGCACAACACAGATATACAACAGTTAACCAGGGTGTAACACAGCACCTGCACAACACAGATATACAACAGTTAACCAGGGTGTAACACAGCACCTGCACAACACGGATATACAACAGTTAACCAGGGTGTAATGCAGCACCTGCACAACACAGATATACAACAGTTAACCAGGGTGTAACACAGCACCTGCACAACACGGATATACAACAGTTAACCAGGGTGTAATGCAGCACCTGCACAACACAGATATACAACAGTTAACCAGGGAGTAACACAGCACCTGCACAACACGGATATACAACAGTTAACCAGGGTGTAACACAGCACCTGCACAACACAGATATACAACAGTTAACCAGGGTGTAACACAGCACCTGCACAACACAGATATACACCAGTTAACCAGGGTGTAATGCAGCACCTGCACATCACAGATATACAACAGTTAACCAGGGTGTAACACAGCACCTGCACAACACAGATATACAACAGTTAACCAGGGTGTAATGCAGCACCTGCACAACACAGATATACAACAGTTAGCCAGGGTGTAACACAGCAACACAGCACCTGCACAACACGGATATACAACAGTTAACCAGGGTGTAATGCAGCACCTGCACAACACAGATATACAACAGTTAACCAGGGAGTAACACAGCACCTGCACAACACGGATATACAACAGTTAACCAGGGTGTAATGCAGCACCTGCACAACACAGATATACAACAGTTAACCAGGGTGTAACACAGCACCTGCACAACACGGATATACAACAGTTAACCAGGGTGTAATGCAGCACCTGCACAACACAGATATACAACAGTTAACCAGGGAGTAACACAGCACCTGCACAACACGGATATACAACAGTTAACCAGGGTGTAATGCAGCACCTGCACAACACAGATATACAACAGTTAACCAGGGTGTTACACAGCACCTGCACATCACAGATATACAACAGTTAACCAGGGTGTAACACAGCACCTGCACAACACAGATATACAACAGTTAACCAGGGTGTAACACAGCACCTGCACAACACAGATATACAACAGTTAACCAGGGTGTAACACAGCAACACAGCACCTGCACAACACGGATATACAACAGTTAACCAGGGTGTAATGCAGCACCTGCACAACACAGATATACAACAGTTAACCAGGGAGTAACACAGCACCTGCACAACACGGATATACAACAGTTAACCAGGGTGTAATGCAGCACCTGCACAACACAGATATACAACAGTTAACCAGGGTGTAACACAGCACCTGCACAACACGGATATACAACAGTTAACCAGGGTGTAATGCAGCACCTGCACAACACAGATATACAACAGTTAACCAGGGAGTAACACAGCACCTGCACAACACAGATATACAACAGTTAACCAGGGTGTAATGCAGCACCTGCACAACACAGATATACAACAGTTAACCAGGGTGTAACACAGCACCTGCACAACACGGATATACAACAGTTAACCAGGGTGTAATGCAGCACCTGCACAACACAGATATACAACAGTTAACCAGGGTGTAATGCAGCACCTGCACAACACAGATATACAACAGTTAACCAGGGTGTAATGCAGCACCTGCACAACACAGATATACACCAGTTAACCAGGGTGTAATGCAGCACCTGCACAACACAGATATACAACAGTTAACCAGGGTGTAATGCAGCACCTGCACAACACGGATATACAACAGTTAACCAGGGTGTAACACAGCACCTGCACAACACAGATATACACCAGTTAACCAGGGTGTAATGCAGCACCTGCACAATCGCGGATATAGAACAGTTAACCAGGATGTAACACAGCACCTGCATAACACGGATATACAACAGTTAACCAGGGTGTAATGCAGCACCTGCACAATCGAGGATATACAACAGTTAACCAGGATGTAACACAGCACCTGCACAACATGGATATACAACAGTAACCAGGGAGTACTGCAGCACCAGCACAATACGTATATACAACAGTTAACCAGACATACAACACTTAGCAGGGTAAGGCAAATAAAGCACCCATACCTCAGTAACATATCAGTGGACAGTAGTGTCCCATACCTCAATAACCTTGCTCCGTTTTGTATCCAGCTCCGTATCCAGGTCCTGCAGACATCTCTCCAGGGTGTGGATCAACATGGCCGGGCCCTGGCTGGACACGAAGTTGGACTCAAAGAACGGCTTGCCCCGACACTTCTCCCTCTCAGCCAGTAGTGTCTGGATCTGAGTGATGGCAGTGTCGGCGATGTTGCTGGTGTGGGTGACAGCCTCCAGCTTCTTCTTGGCATCCGAGAGGGAGGCCTCCTGCTGCTTGTTGCGTTCATGCTGTTGCTGGAGAGAGGACTTGAGCTTGGCGATGACACCCTCTTGGCTCGCTGCCTCCTTCTGTCTGCAAGCACAGACCAAACTTCCACAACACAAGCCACATTTGTTGCATGCTGCAAAATGTTTATGTGTGTGGGTGTGTGTGGATGTGAGTTGGTGGGTGTGGGTTTTTGTGTTCCAGTCATAAGACAGCTGTCAGTAATTAGTCTTCACTATTTTGAGCAACGATTCCTGCCATCAGGTTAACATTCCTTCCATCAGGTTAACATGACACACCATCAACCAAGTCACGGAGCCTGACCATTTGATCGCCTCTTATGACCAGCAGTGACTACACTACAAGTGACATTTGTTACATGCTGAAAACTAACGGGAATACAAGTTGTGACAAATACTTCTCATTGTTAGATATTACCATATTTTCTAGAGTATAGTGCGCACCCAAGTATAATGCGCATCACCCTCTAGGGGATTCAGTATTTTGGCAAAACAATTTGGAGCATATTATGCGTAGAAAAGAATTACACCGCACCCTTTCAGTGAATTCAGGTAAAGGTACGGGTGATAAGAAACTTGGTCAGTACAAATTTGAAATTTGAGATATAAAATCACCAGACATGTTAATTTACGTTTAAATTATTTAACATGCATTATTTAACATGCAGAGAATAAGGTTACCGGTACCTTGTGTATTTTCTCGTAAACTAAGCTGGAAACAGTAATCAGCTGTACACACATTTTGTTGGAATCTCCCGGTAATTCGGTTAAAACTTACCCGATAATATGACTTTAGAGTATTTGATGCATTAACTGGGAAAAATTGTATCCAAAACTATTTTATTCTGAGGAAAAATATATTCCAACAGTGTGTTATTTTAGTTGCAGCTTTTACTATACATATTAAAATATTAATAACCATAAGCGTAGCATTTCAGTGCAGCTGATCGCTATTGCTGGATATTTTTTTTACATGGAACAATTTCCTTAGTCACCGTCAAGGCTCCAGCACAAGTAATCGTGAGAACTATTGTTGACCTAGAATCGTCAAACTACCACAAATAAGACACTTTGGTGAAACCCACAGGCACGGGTATGGTGCTGACATACCTAGAAACATAATCGGGGTGAACCGGGATTCGTACCCACAATCATAGGTTTCTGGCGTGCCCAAGGGACGCAACTCTGCACAGTGAATCGCGGCACCTTAGACGACTGGGCCACCCGTGCCCCCCCAGCAGTAGACAAATGATGGAAGTCTCCCTGCCTGTGTGCAGCAGACACACAGCTAGCTACATTGTTTGTACACTGTCAACATGTGCTACCTGAGTTCCAGTATTGTGTCTCGGTTCACAATCGTCTCATGGAGTTTGGACTTCAGCTCCTCGATGTTGACACGGAACTGGCGTTTTTGGCTTTCAGTCATGTCACTACCCTGCAGAGAAAATCAATATCAAATCCAATGTTGTTAGTGAGTGTCAATCTCAATTAAGGAAAGGCCAACACAGCCTTTCAACAAACTAAGGTGCTATCTATGCTCAAACATTGTTTCCATCATTATGCCTAACTGCATATGTTACAGTCACTGGCAGTGTAAAGCAAAGATACTTTGTAAGACAAACTTAAGTTCACACTCAAGAAAGTTTAACAAGCCTTGGAAGGTTAAATTCTAATACCACCTCCCACTGCTCATTGTGATGGAAAAGAGATAATGTCACGGTCAGATACAGAAAAGCGCCAAATTTCAAGCTCTCTTTGTCCCTAAATCTATCCTGCCACACATACATTGAAAATTACAGTAAACACAACACCGCTTCTTGTAACTTATAATACATGTATAATACATGTCATTGTTTCAAAATGTCTATCGACAATAATTGAGAAGTAAGTATTTCATGAATATTAGCTTCCGGAGTGATGCAGCCAATGCAATCACCTGTTTCAGTAAGAGGTGGTTATTGTGATTTGATACCTCTGATTAACCAATCAGAATTGAGTATTTTCCAAATTCATGGTAATACGCATATTCTAAATCACACGCAGCACATTGCTTTAGCTTACTTGTGCTAAACGAAGAGCATGCCATCTGAACAAGAGCATGCTTACCTGTTAACAAGCCAAATGAATTGTCCCAAGATTCCCATAATCATAACTTAGAAATGGTCATAAAATGCACATTCAAAATAAAACAGCATTTAATTTTTATTTTAACTTTGCAATTTTTGTACACAAGAACAGTCTTGCCTAAAACAAAATAAAGAAATGAAGTCGTCCTCAAGTCATTGTTGATCATGTTGATCATGGTTTAAATTACACCACCCACATACATGCAATAACAAAGCCTTACTTCACTTTCACCTGCCGTAATATCCCTTATCAACCTAATCCCTAATGGCTTTTATCATGATCCTGTGTCAACAAACCAAGACAATGGATTACCCGACCACTAGGACATGCTACCACCTACATCACACACATTCCAGTGATATAGGAGCCCCTGCTAGAGGTTACCCCTCCAATGACTTGCTACACAGAGCTACTTGGTCGGCCTGTGCTTCTCATAGGAATGTGTCCATACACATAACTACTTGAGCCTCTGAAAGACCCTTATGTATGTCCATGGCTGTGGCTGTGATTTATGGGTAGGGGTGGATGGGTACAGTGTTCATCATGTTAACAGTTGCTTCCTGTGATTGGGTGCTGATTTACTCCGGTAACAGGATGTCTAGGGCTACGTAGAGGAGTAGTGAGTGAGTGAGTGAGTGAGTGAGTTGGGTTTAACGCCTCTAGTATTCCAGTTATATCACGGCATGTCAGCTTAATGTGGGAGGAAAGCCCCAAGGGATGCAGGTCTCAGACGTTTACCACTTTGGTGAAACCCATGAGCACGGGTATGGTGCTGACAAACCTAGAAACATAATCCGAGCGAAGCGGGATTCGAACCCACAATCATAGGTTTCTGGCGTGCCCAAGGGACGCAACTCAGCACAGACCACTGGGCCACCCGAGCCCCCTATACAGAGGAGTAAGAAACCGTAACTGTATATGTAGAAAGTATTAACCATGTTAATGGCTGTCATTCACAGATAACCTACATCTAGGAAACAAGGGAGGACAATGTCAAAAACAGTTTGTATAATGAGTGTCTGAAACATTACAAGGTCATTTCTGAGACTGACAGTCTTTCCGTTCATGATGCATATTGGTTATTATATCAATTTGTGCCAGCCTATCTAGTGGAGAATTAAGATTTCAAGCAAGGATCATCAATCAGACAGAATTAAAAATAAATTTCCGTATGACCTGCAACGTGAAGCCTCACCTCCTGCAGCCTCTTCCTCAGGTCAGACACTTGTTCCTGGGACTCCTTCAGAGCGCGTTCTAGATGAGACCTGCACAACACAAGTCAGGAAGTACATGTCAAACAGCCCATGTCCCAGTCAAGATTCCCCCAGACCTCATCCTAGATGAGACCTACACAACACAAGTCAGGAAGTATATGTCAAGGTCTTAGACCTACACAACACAAGTCAGGAAGTACATGTCAAACAGCCCATGTCCCAGTCAAGATTCCTTCAGAGCTCATCCTAGATGAGACCTACACAACACAAGTCAGGAAGTATATGTCAAGGTCTTAGACCTACACAACACAAGTCAGGAAGTACATGTCAAACAGCCCATGTCCCAGTCAAGATTCCTTCAGAGCTCATCCTAGATGAGACCTACACAACACAAGTCAGGAAGTATATGTCAAGGTCTTAGACCTACACAACACAAGTCAGGAAGTACATGTCAAACAGCCCATGTCCCACTCAAGATTCCTTCAGACCTCATCCTAGATGAGACCTACACAACACAAGTCAGGAAGTATATGTCAAGGTCTTAGACCTACACAACACAAGTCAGGAAGTACATGTCAAGGTCTTAGACCTACACAACACAAGTCAGGAAGTACATGTCAAGGTCTTAGACCTACACAACACAAGTCAGGAAGTACATGTCAAACAGCCCATGTCCCACTCAAGATTCCTTCAGACCTCATCCTAGATGAGACCTACACAACACAAGTCAGGGAGTACATGTCAAGGTCTTAGACCTACACAACACAAGTCAGGGAGTACATGTCAAGGTCTTAGACCTACACAACACAAGTCAGGAAGTACATGTCAAGGTCTTAGACCTACACAACACAAGTCAGGAAGTATATGTCAAGGTCTTAGACCTACACAACACAAGTCAGGAAGTACATGTCAAACAGCCCATGTCCCACTCAAGATTCCTTCAGACCTCATCCTAGATGAGACCTACACAACACAAGTCAGGAAGTATATGTCAAGGTCTTAGACCTACACAACACAAGTCAGGAAGTACATGTCAAGGTCTTAGACCTACACAACACAAGTCAGGAAGTACATGTCAAGGTCTTAGACCTACACAACACAAGTCAGGAAGTACATGTCAAACAGCCCATGTCCCACTCAAGATTCCTTCAGACCTCATCCTAGATGAGACCTACACAACACAAGTCAGGGAGTACATGTCAAGGTCTTAGACCTACACAACACAAGTCAGGGAGTACATGTCAAGGTCTTAGACCTGCACAACACAAGTCAGGGAGTACATGTCAAGGTCTTAGACCTACACAACACAAGTCAGGAAGTACATGTCAAGGTCTTAGACCTACACAACACAAGTCAGGAAGTACATGTCAAGGTCTTAGACCTACACAACACAAGTCAGGGAGTACATGTCAAGGTCTTAGACCTGCACAACACAAGTCAGGGAGTACATGTCAAGGTCTTAGACCTACACAACACAAGTCAGGAAGTACATGTCAAGGTCTTAGACCTACACAACACAAGTCAGGGAGTACATGTCAAACAGCCCATGTCCCACTCAAGATTCCCCCAGACCTCATCCTAGATGAGACCTACATTCACAAGTCAGGAAGTACATGTCAAGGTCTTAGACCTACACAACACAAGTCAGGAAGTACATGTCAAGGTCTTAGACCTACACAACACAAGTCAGGGAGTACATGTCAAGGTCTTAGACCTACACAACACAAGTCAGGAAGTACATGTCAAACAGCCCATGTCCCACTCAAGGAAGTACATGTCAAGGTCTTAGACCTACACAACACAAGTCAGGGAGTACATGTCAAACAGCCCATGTCCCACTCAAGATTCCCCCAGACCTCATCCTAGATGAGACCTACATTCACAAGTCAGGAAGTACATGTCAAGGTCTTAGACCTACACAACACAAGTCAGGAAGTACATGTCAAGGTCTTAGACCTACACAACACAAGTCAGGGAGTACATGTCAAGGTCTTAGACCTACACAACACAAGTCAGGAAGTACATGTCAAACAGCCCATGTCCCACTCAAGATTCCCCCAGACCTCATTCTAGATGAGACCTACACAATACATATGAAACAGCTCATGTCCCACAGGGTATAACTGAATGCAGTGACAAACATATATACATATTTCATGGCAAAAAATCAATTTCAAATGTTTAAGTGGTGAAACAAAACAATAAGGAAATATAAAAATTTCTTTCAAGCCAAATTAAGAAGGTAATGAAACATACAAGCTCTCCTGTTAATGTGCAAGTCCTCTAGATGACTGTACAAGTTGCAAGTTACAAGTTATATTCCAGGGTCACATTCACAAAGCAACCATATCTGTGCAACATGCAGAAATCCATGGTCCACTGAGACAGTCACGCATACGAGTGACCCCCCTCTTGGTTGGGAGACCCGTCTCACGTACACGTTATGTCCTCTACTGATAACTCCGTACCCCAGCACAGACCTACAATGTTCTCATATCACTAAGTTACTAAGACCATCGTAACACTGTACCCCAGCACAGACCTACAATGTTCTCATATCACTAAGTTACTAAGACCATCGTAACTCTGTACCCCAGCACAGACCTACAATGTTCTTATATCACTAAGTTACTAAGAGTATCATAACTCCGTACCCCAGCACAGTCAAACAATATTCTTATATTACTTACTTACCATCATTACTCCCTACCCCAGCACAGACCTAAAATATTCTTTTATCACCAAGTTAGCAAGACCATCATTACTCCCTGCCCCAGCACAGACCTAAAATATTCTTTTATCACCAAGTTAGCAAGACCATCATAACTCCCTGCCCCAGCACAGACCTAAAATATTCTTTTATCACCAAGTTACCAAGACCATCTAACTCCGTACCCCAGCACAGACCTACAATCATCAATGATCTTAGTGCTAGTATCTATGAATTGGAACCTGTGAGAGACGAGTGTGGAACGTACGGTGGAACAAACTCGAAGGCTCTGTTCCTGGAGGTGGAGAGTTCCGGTGTTTGTGGCAGTGTGGAAAAGGCTGACTTGGAGGGGCTGGACGGAACACTGGTGAAGCTGTGGCTGGGAGGGAGGTCCGTTAGCAGCTGTGACTGCAACCGGTCAGTCTCCTTCCGTTGCTGCTCCAGCTGCACCCTGGCAACAGTCACCATGGTTACTGAGTCAGCAGTGTAACACTAACTGCTACAACTGTGTCCTGGCAACAACAGTCACCCTGGCTACTAAGTCAAGGAATAGTCAGCAACTTAACACTAACCACTAACTACTCCAGCTGCGCCCTGGCAAAAACAGTCAATATCGAACTTAGTCAGGCATATAAATATATAGATATAATTTTTCAGGTAGACGGCAGAAACATCACTGATTCCATATCAGATGCCTGCTCCATCAGAGCTTATTCTACCTCTGTCAGAAAGCAGCTTCCTGAGGCAAAGGGAGTTAACTAACCATAAAAGCCCAGTTTCCACCCTTGCCGAACTCGGCTGGAATTCCTGGGCTCGATCGTAGCGCCACCACTGGCTATTACGAATTATGTCCCTTCTATGCCTCTCTTATGGGCCAATCAAATTCCACCTCTTGTATCACTTGCCTTTGCTTCAAACAAAAGTCAAGACAATCTGAATGATAATCAATATCTATATTGTGATAAAACGGGTCGTACATCCCGAAGTGAATCAAATCACGCAAGCAGCTTGATTAACAAAAGATTAAATACATGTTAAAAACATGAAAAGATTTTGAAAATATCTGTTGACAACGAGTTGGTGGTGCACATGTTTTGTAAATCCTGCAATTGACCGAAATCTGCACGACGGTTTACGAACCGGATTTCAATTTCATTGCGCAATTTTGATTGGACTATGCATAGACTCATTAGTCCAGCCAAATCGTAACTCCATAATCAGTCTAGTTTGGCAAGGGTGGAAACTAGACTTTTATAGTCAGTTAACTCTTTGCCTCGAGAAGATGTCAGAAAGGGGATGGTGGGGAGGAAGGGAAGGGAGAGAGATTGAAATTTACATAAACATATTGTTTTCAATAGGCTGAGTGAACATGTTCAAGTATAATTGAGTCTTGTGGTAATTCCATCACGTTTAAATTATGACTCTAAATGTCTTGTAAAAAAAATCTCCACTCCCAGGAATGAGGGATTGTGAAATCATACTGTTTCTGAAAGTGCAACTGCGTCTACATATGAATGGTGTACCTGAGGTCTGAGATGGTCTTCTGTTCCGATGAGATGTCGACAAGGGATGCAAGGGATGCAGGAGGAACTACAGACTTGACCGTCTGAAAAAACGGGTTTCACAACACAATTATTGTTCTTCTTCTTGACATGCTGAACACATCCTTTCACAGGAACTACTAACCAAGCTTCCTAATTTATTTTTAATTGATCATTGTAACTTATATACTGTCATAATTACAGGTAAAATAAAAACGTGTAAATGAACAATTTAACTACCATGCAGCCAATAAATGGCCTATGAGACGTGCAAAACAAAATGCACTCTTTTAACAATCGGTACATATACAGTGACACACACATCGTAAGGATATAGTGTCTTATCTAAAGTTGTTAAATCATGAAAATGTCTCATGCCATTTGTCTCCAGCAGGGTCACAGCACAAAGTTCCTATGCATTACTGCTGTGGATGTCTCTGTCACCATGCTGTGTCACAAACCACAACCAGGGACAGACATGATGACTGTGGCATGGACAGCAGTGCAAGGAGCAGTAATCTGGACTTGTCCACGATAGTCCTGTCAGATAAAGTCTATGCGGCCCAGAACTTTTAAGTCTACAAGCCCAAACATGGCTCCACACTCTCAGCACTATTCTCAGTACATTTTAGTTCTACAATATGGACTATATTAGCTGAGATTACTTGATCATGTTGATCAAACAGGATTTTCCTGGACTTAGGCTTCGGACAACTGGCAATGGACGCAATCTGTAGTCAACTATTTACAGAGCTCCAGATAAGCTGCGTATCTGCTTGAAATACGCATCAGAAATGCAGAAATACGCAGTAAAATATAATCCAAGCGTATCAAATACGCAACGAACATTACAGATACGCTACAAAAATAAAACTTGTGCGTATCATCAAAATATTGTGAAGTAACCCTGCGTATTCGATTAGCAGATGAGCAACTTATTTTGAAATTATAAGTTGGCATTCCGTCAACCTTGCCAAACTCCACGATGACAGTCACATCATGATCATTTGCCATCACACTTTCTTGTGGAAGTATCGTGGTATTTTTTAGTCCTATAAAGCTCTCGAACCCACACGACACCAGTTTGCAGGGACTAGATGAATAGTGTTTTTAAATATTTAACTTAAATACCCACATGCGTAAAAACTAGTGGGTAACAGAAATTTGAATACGCAGATAGAATTACTGATACCCAATGATTTTAAAATGCATGGGTAAAATACCCACAACACCAATAGCTTATCTGGAGCTCTGTATTTAGCGTATAGTTACTGGTAGTCCTGGAAGGAAGCCGGACTCACCTCGAAACTTGTATCTGTTGCGTCCATACTCAAATTTCCTGAAAAGTCAGAACTCATGTTACATCCTCAGCATGACTAGAACACACTAATCCTTGTTCATCTTCTGAAGTGTTGATTACCGTATGCCTGTTGCTACTGATTACCACAGCATAAGAAACTAACAGTTTCATTCCACTGGTCCTTATAATGATAACATAGAGTAAAACACACAAAAATGGCAAATTTCTACTAGTGCTCATGGTACCATTACTATTGGGCAGTTTGGCAAGGACTATAGGACTTGTGCCAATTTCTAACGCTGTTACCATCACAACTGTCACTACATTTGATATTTATACTGACACATGGACAAGATGGAATCTCAACATGGTTTCTCAGACACATTATTCAAACATAAAGCATTTACTCTTCTCTCACGGATTTGGATATGTTTGGCTTAATCAAAGCATTGGAGACAAAATGTATTTTCTTAGCTCTTTTAAGCAGGTAGCAATTGATATGTTTACTCAAAACTGGAGGTCGTCACTAGATAACAGTACACGCTATGATGTCTATAAAACCTTTAAATATTGTCTAACACCAGAGGTTTACCTGCATACTGTAACCATGGTAACAGAGAGAAAAATTAGAGACACATTTATTAAATTAGGCTAGGGTTAAATGATTTGATGTGCAACAGGGGTCGCTTCTCCTCTATTCCTAAGGATTGCGTTTTTGTCCAGTCTGCGAAAACCATATTGAAAACGAATTACACTTTTTGTTTATACATGTATGTCCAATTTACGACAACCTAAGATTGAAATATATGCCTGATATCACTAAGAACCACTATTCCATGAACAAAAAATATTATCTTTTAATGGTATCCCTAGTCAACAAATTAACTAAGATATTACAATACATCTATCAAAGTCTACGAGTGCGTAGTAAATTACATAGTAAATCCGATATGTCCAGAAATAATTAGTTGTCTTGAAACTTTCGCATCTAGATCAGGAGTATCTACATTTCATTTTTGTCTGTTTGTTTCTACTAGAAATGCATATACATTTAAATTGTCAAATTGTCATGACATGATGAGTATATTACTGATAGATCCTTTTGTATTGAACGTCGTGCTATGGCTGAAAGCCTTTGCGACGTAAAACTTCATATTTCCATTCCATTCCTTTTGTATTCCTTTTGTATTTTATACTACTACTGCTGCCACTGTGGTTATTACCACTGTTATTACAATACCTCTATTACATGTCAAGCATCATATTAGTTATCCAATAATTATATAATGCGCTGTACAGCTGTAAATGATATTGTTTATCTGTATGTGTATATGGGCCAATGGCCTTTCATACAATAAAGATTGATTGATTGATTGACACACAAGACAAGCACATGAGGAGTATACAAAACAGGGTGTCTACTTACACACCGTGTAGTGCCATCTAAAATAGGAATTGTGTGTACATTACCAGATTATCCTGATCTGAAATACCCACTGTCATGCTTGCTTTTCATGAGTTAGGTTGGTTACTTGAAAAATATCTTTTTTATCTATTTCTTGTGCATGCTTCTTGTAATATACTCAACAACAAAAGTTCCTGTGACACCAATATTTTAGTATATTTATCAAACAAGTAAAGTTTGGTTTTCAATATTGTACTTTGTAGTACATGTATGGAATCAAGTCACAAAAATGCAACTGCTACAGAAAAGCATGCATTCCATGCAAAAGTTGACTTTTATGCAAGCCCCATGCATTTCACTACCCAAGAATGGGTATAAAAACGTGCATTAACGGGATTCCATATGCATTGTTTAGCATCGTTCTGACAACAACCACTCAGAAAAACAACAAAATTACGCAATTATTCAACATTACTAAATGCCACACCTGATGAAATTATTACCTTATTACTGATAACACAGATAGATTGAAATTCAGATATGGTTGCAGTGGACACAAAATAACTTTCTGGTTTGTAATAGCACTTCCCTCTGCCATCTTAAACAGCGCTTATAACTCACAAAATGATCACAGCACTACAAATACAACTGGAAAGTAAGGGTGCGTGGTATTACCAGTATATCGGTAAATTGTGATTAATTTTTTCCACGATACGTATCACAATATGCTTTAATGCTTGGTTAATCGGGTGATTTCAAATAGCGATTTTTAACATGTGTTTAATGTTATACACTTGCCAAATACATGTACCTTCAAAATGTTTCTGTAATTCCAAAATGCAACAGTGGGAACAGAGAGCTTAATAATTGGTGCCTTTCCATCTGACTGGCATGGCATATCTCTTGTGTCACAATGATTGATGTGGCATCATAGGTGACACATGGTGTCAAACGGAGTAAAACATACGGGCTTACAATTTATAGCTTGATTTACAGATCTGCCAACTTCAAAACAATCAAATTAAAACTTTAAAAAAAATTTATCACCGTTATCCAAATCAAACTTTAAGTGATTAATATATTCTATGTACAATGTATGCATTAAAGGCCTTTTTTTTTTACCAACCAACAACATCAAAATCTGTAAAACATCAAAAAAAGTCTGGGATAATGATATGAACAAACAATGTTTGAGCAAATACAATACCATACTATTTTCAAAGGCTATTATCGATGACAACCCACTCTAACATTGGGCTCAACACATGCCGCTTCTCTCTGTATCCTTTTTCCCTATCCTATCACCCCATCCTCTCTCCCTACCCCTAACCCCAAAGTGTTCATGTTTTATTTTGGCATGGTAGAATGGACACAAACCTACTGTGTTTTCAATGTAGAGCTAGGTTAGGAAGGTCATCTGTAGATTTAACAGCACTTTGGTTTAATTTAATATTTGAAACCTCACACTGTGCATTCTGTTACAAACAAATTTCAGATGTTAGGGGTCACTTTAAGTCATTTTTTATCAGTACATTCTACTTGTAATGCATTATTTCTTGAAAGATTGATTCTAATCAATTCACATGAGGGTGAAACCATAGCGCAATGTGCATCATCATTATATATATGGGTTGTCTCAAACTTGTCAGGAAAATTAATTATTTCACAAAGTTCTGGAAATTTTTTTGTTTATTAATATTTGTAGAAATTGCATTACCCGGATGAAAAACACATTAAGTTTTGCACAGAGGGTACTTTCCCCCACAGGCTATTTTTCAGCGCCAACCTTGAACATGTTGAAGTTCCTCTTATGTTATTAACTCTAACCATTTGTTTTTCTAGTAGACAAATCTATATTGTAGCAATGTGGATTCCAGTCATGCACATGAAATTCTATATTTTTTTAAATGTTTTGACCAAGTTTCTCAATGAACTTCATCACGTTTGCTGACCTGTTTGAATTAAAACAGACACAATCAACATGATCATGACATGACTACACTCGCCTACATTAGAACAAGGAGAGCGATTTGTTTTCTACAGCATCCTTCCAAAAAATCATTTTTTAAGTCTTTAATATAAGGTACTAGTGAACACTCAACAAAAACAATCATTATTACTCAACCTATTTAAAATATATCCTGTGCAATTTTCTCAATACAGCTATTATCATGATTATCAATAACAAAAATTATTAGTACGCAGAATAAGCATGTATGCATTCAAGTCTTAGTATTAATGAATTATGAGACAAAGTACTGAGGAAACATTTCAGCAAAGATCTTAAAGTGTTCCTTACATCATAAACAGTGAACTCATGAAAACAATTTGTCCTGTGAGAAATATAATACCACTTCAACTGTTTGATGTCAGATTAACTTAAGCCCGAAATCCAGGTTAGCTTTCATTAGCGTAGGGCCCAAGGCTTAGATCACTGACCTATCAAGTATCAATGCTGAGTTTAGTCATGAAAGCGAGTAGGTCTTATGCTGGTTAACGCGCATTCTTTTTTAGTTCAATGTTTATATTCATAACTCCCAGTCAGACAAATATCAAGTGTCTGCCATTCAAATGCAAGCGACACCCTGTTGCCTGACACAAAAGATCATCTCTCTTCTATGACATGAACGCAAACTTTCGTCAAAGTTCAGATTTCATACTTGGCGGATTTGCCTTGACATGCCCATTCATGCCTTGCTGTCATTATTTTACCTGATAAACTGGCTAATGTCACTTCTCGTAGCTTATTTCCTTCAAGTTCCAGTCTTCTTATCTGTTCAGAAAACTCTCTGCTACTCTGTCTTAAACTTGCAGCAGAAAGATTAGAACACTCATCCATGGCACTGTTGTTTATTCCGGTCGTTGATGCAGACGAATTTGACGAGGTCCCGTGGCCTGGCATCATGCTCGCTGCGGGCACAGTTGTAAACGAAGAATTCATCGTATCCATGTTTGATCATGAGTTGAGACATACACAGTATGACTGCTATGATAGTCTAGAGTATGTCATGGTCACTGATATTGACATTATACGTGTCAACAAAGTCACACACTTCGATAAAACTTGGCAAAATCAGTTTGTTTTGTATAAAGCGGGTTTCCGCTAGCGCAGGCGCATTGACCTGTAGAAGGGAGGTAATCCATGTATTGTTAACGTATTAACGCCGCTACATGAGTAGTCCAAAAGACTCCACGAGGACACAAACTTGTTTTTGCAGGCTCGTGAATTTATGGGAGCAGCACCAAGCTCCCTGCGTTTTTTCGTTCTAAATCTATATTCATTATATGACATTTCAAGTAGTCATATATTGCCCCCCTGTTTTTTTTTTTTTTTTTTTTAGAAAACAGTTTTATTTGAATCATGAAAATACAAGTTGGGGACAAGTGATACTTGTACAAATATGTGCCCCCCCCTGTCAAAAAAACTTAACTACGGCCTTGCATGGGTAGTTTTAAAAAGTTTTAAATTCGTAGATACATATCAGTATCATTCAAACATGTTTTTCAAGCATTTACCTGACTCTGCTACTTCCGAATTGGCGCACACTGCTGGAGCAATGTGTTCAGTGAACCACGTGTAATCCCTACTGCATAGCGATCCTACACCGTGCTCATAAGTACTCTGTTTAGTTCAGGCTTCGACTGACCCGGTGTGGTTATAAGAACTCCGCCATGTTACACTATAATTTCTACATTAATTTCAGCAACGATCTTTTTCTCAACACTAATTAACTTTGGACATTCCTCCGCATAAAGTTGTTAATTTCAAAGTATATATGTAACAATTTTCGTTTAAACGAGGAGCTTGGAAAACACCTTTATGAGGAAAGAAAGAAAAATACTGCAACGACCACACCTATGATGAAGATAAATACCAAGTTTATTGACAAATTTGTAAAACGCTGTGAAAATATTGATGTTCAGATATGGAACGATAGTTAGATTTTTACAGACATGTTAAAATAGTTTATGGTTTGGATGATTATATATTTTGTATTCACAATATGATCTAATAGTATCGTAAAGTATTAGCTAAATTTAGATGTTCTAGTCATACTTTAATGATAGAAATAGGTCGACGGTAAAATATTAACAGAAATTTAAAATTCTATCAATTTTCATGGTATTAATAGTGGAATCAGAATACCATTCCTGCCTCCAATGTCCATTTTATGCATATTTAAAAGAAAGCATATTACCAAAGTATTACTGTGTCCATCCAAACCAGTAAAAACTACAAATGCTATTCTCAAGCTCGAATCCGCCTTTACTTCACAGTCTAGGGAAATATATTTTCTTAGCACTTAAGAAACGCAATAGATATTTTTAAGATGTCATTTATTATCCTAAGTAGTAATACTGTCCACTATTGTTCACCATAAGGCAAACATTTTGGCGCTCTTTGTCAAATACATATGTGAGTGTGTATATACTTGTATAATGGGCCGGTGGCCTCAGTACGGATTAAACAACATCAACCATCAACCAACATGTTGTTTATAAATGAACAATACTCCAGCATCCGCAGTAGTGAGTTAACATATTTGTATAAACTTTCCACAACGACAAAATTTATAAAGTTAATGAAAACTGAAGGCAGGTTATCCTTTATAACATGGGTAATTTCTATATCTAAGGCATGTATACTCGTACATGGGGAAATACGTCTTCACTAACTCTCCATACTTTACTCAAGCATGCATGATATAGTTTTACTGTTGTTGGTCTATCCAGTTTAAAATGGGTAGTGAGTCCATAGACGATGACCCAAGGGCAGGCAGGCCTTCAGATGCCACCCAACTGGAAACCATTGCTGCTGTAGAAAGAAGAATTTTGTCTGACCGACGAGTGAAAGTATCTGAACTTTACAAATATCAGTTGGAACTGTTGGAACTGTTGGAACCATCTTGGTATGTCCAAGGTGTCTGCAAGATGGGTACCTAGAAACCTCAGAGCTCAAGATTGCCATCAGAGAACTGAAAGTTGTTGAGACCTCCTGGATCTCTATACTGCTGATGAAACCGGATTTCTTTCTTGTCTAGTGACAGGTGATGAAACATGGATCCACCACTGGGACCCAGAAACTAAATTGGAATCCATGCAATGGAAGCACCCCAATTCTCCACCTCCAAGGAAGTTTCGCACTCAACCATCGGCTGGCAAGGTAATGGCCACCATATTTTGGGATGCAAGACATATCACTGGTTGATTACATGCTACCAAAAACTGCAAACAATGGACAGTATTATGCTAATGTAATGAAAGAATTGTGAAAATCTATTCGCCAGAAACGCCGTGGGATGTTAACACGTGGTATTCTACTTTTGCATGACAACGCTCAGGCTCACAAGTCGGGAATTGCACAGGCCGCCATATGTGAATGTGGATTCGAACAGTTAAATCACCCACCCTACAGCCCAGACTTAACCCTCAGTGACTATTTCCTGTTCTTGCAAATGAAATCTGCCCTACGTGGAAGACGCTTCCAGGATGACGAGGACATAAAGGCTGCCACAGAGGCGTGGTGAGAGGGCCAATCTGCAGATTTCTATAAAAGTGGTATTAAAAGCTTGAAGGACAAATGGAATAAGTGTATTGAGATGAATGGAGATTACATTGAAAAATAAAAGTGCAAAAGATATTCTGCGACTTGGTCTTATATTGAAGTTGCAAAACTTATTGAACGCCCCTCGTAAATGGTGTGTAGGAGTGTCCATCACTCTATCATGAAAGGAAGCATAGGTTCATAGCTGCATATGGAACATATAATTACCTTCTGACACTGTATGGTTTAAATGGTTTACCATTACGTAAGGAGAAGGAACACCAACAAATACAACCAAATTGTATTGTGTTTTAAATATAAATACATCATAGTGTAGCGGCCATGAATGTTCCAAGCCCGAAGTTCCACTGCAGTGCTGGTAGAACAGAAACAGTTATGTTCACAAGAGAGAACAGATTCCAGCTTTTACTGGCAGACGGAAGATATTGTGTCAACCTCCGACAAGGAGAACGTTGTTGCCTCAAGATGTCGAAACGTTTGGAGGTGGCAGCATCTGTAGCTCTGTCAATTCTGCATCATTAGCACTGTCAAGACGGCATCTGTAGCCAAGTCAGTGCGGCATCATTAGCACTGTCAAGGCGGCATCTGTAGCCAAGTCAGTGCGGCATCATTAGCACTGTCAAGACGGCATCTGTAGCCAAGTCAGTGCGGCATCATTAGCACTGTCAAGACGGCATCTGTAGCCAAGTCAGTGCGGCATCATTAGCACTGTCAAGGCGGCATCTGTAGCCAAGTCAGTGCGGCATCATTAGTCCTGCAATGCATCTTCTGTAGCCAAGTTAAGACAGATCTGGTGATTTGGGAAGCAGACATTACTGGACAGCATTACATTGATCAATTTCTAAACCCTGTTTCAACAAGATAACTCAAGGCCACATACAACATCTTGCATTGGTCAGCACAATCAGCCTACTTATCACCGATAGGACTCTTGTGGAAGCACCTTTTGTACTCTTAAATTAGAGCACGACCAGGTCTCCCTTACAAGGATCAGCTAGCACAGTCCCTCTACGAAGAATGGTTTTGAATCCTATTTCCTGTAATCAGACGTATCACATCTTCTTCTCATGGTCGAGTTGGGGCGTGCAATGATTCCCGTGGAGGGCATACACAATTAAGTCTGACATTTGTGACATTCTGAAGGATAATAGAGAGTTTCATGTGCTGATTTCAGTCTCGATGGTTGATCATACACTGAGCAACTGACCCCATCCTCCAAACTGAGGAGGGCGGTCTGCTAGCCCAGTGGTTAAAGCTTTTGCTCGTCACTCTGAAGATTCGGGTTCAATTCCCAACATGGGTACAATGTGTGAAGCCTATTTCTGGTGTCCCCCTGCCGTGATATCGCTAAAAGCGACGTAAAACTATACTCACTCACTCACTCCAACTTGAGGACACACTTTCTTTTGTTTTCTCATTCATGGCATAACTTGTAATGATGCTAATATATACTGAACCAAATTAAAAACTTCACAATCCTAAAATTTTAACATTTTGTCCCTTTATAATTGTGGGCCCTTATTGTGTATTTCAACAGTAATTGCCACGTATTGACTTCAGATAACACCCGTTTTTGTGCAGGTGAATCGATCAAAATCATGTGCACAGCACTATAGTGGCAAAAGTGTTTTTTCACGTGCAACTGGTCACGTGGCCATAATACCGCACATGTTTTCAGCCATATGTCATGCCACTTGAACGTGCCATCGGCATGTTGCAGACGGGAACGTCCGTAGCTGAAATTGCAAGGACGATGGGTTGTAGTCAACGGACTGTTTATGATTTACAGACGCATCTACAGCAAATGGGTACCACCGCTGATCGCCCTGGGCCAGGTCGACCACGTGTGACGTCACATGCAGAGGATCTACAGATTCTGACTCAATTACACAGACGTCAACGTCAATTGTGGGCACAGCCACACTTACGATGGACTCAGAGGAATTTGAATCAAGTCGTCTTCAGTGATGAATCCCGATTTAATCTTCGATTTGCTGATGGTAGGGCGAGGGTGTGGAGGCGCCGTCATGAACGTTACGCCCAGTGTTACAGTGTACAGTGTACAGGAAGTTGACAGATTTCGAGGCGGAAGTGTCATGGTGTGGGGTGCTTTCTGTGGCAATGCACGTTCCAGGCTTCTTGTCATCCGTGGCAACCTCAACGCTGCTGCTTACCGCGACCAGGTACTGGCACAAGAACTTCTGCCTTTTATGGCAGCACATGGACCCGGTTTGATCTTCCAACACGACAATGCCAGACCCCACACAGCAATTTTGACTAGAAATTTTCCTTCAGAATGCGGGAGTCAACGTCATGGACTGGCCGTCAAGGTCTCCAGACCTCAATCCCATCGAACACGTCTGGGATGCTCTTGGCAGAAGTCTGCACACTCTCCAGAACCAACCACTGAATTTGCAAGATCTTGGCACCGTTTTGCAGCAACAATGGCGTCATCTTTCCAATCATGTGTTCACAAGCATCACAAGGTCCATGCGGAGGCGTTGTGTGGCAGTTGTCAACGCACATGGTGGCCATACACGCTACTGAACTT